TTATTTTATGTTATGTCTAAAAAAATTATTTCTTTTCCCTTTTCGTTACTAAAGAAACTATTATTATTATTAAGGGTGAAATTATTTCTAATTCATTTGTTATATAAAATGCTGTTTTATATTTTTAACTGATGAAAAATGTAAAATAAATAAAGTTACCTAAAAATATAGATATTCCACCTTCTATTTTCAGCCAATAAGACCAGAAACCTAAACATTTTCACCAGCATATTTGTCTATTTAAACTATTAAACATCTCCCCTAATTCCCCATTTTTTGTTAGCTCATTATCAATGCCAGGTGCGTGTTCGCTGCCTCGTGTCGAGGGTTTTTGGGTTTTCGATTTTAATTCCTGGCCGTAACTGCTGCTCACCAAATCATTGCGTTTTTAAATTTGACAATTAGACTAATTTCCCTCTCGCTGCCTGTTGCATATTTGGATGGGGATTTTTTATAAACTACATAGATTTCAACTCACCCAAAATAAAGACCGAAAGAAGTACACACCAGAACACACGAAAAAAAAAGACTGCAGTCGTCGAGAAACTTCCGGCAATAAAAAATGAATGCAAAGAAAAAAACAACAAAAAAATTAAAGATTGGCCTAGTTTTTTTTTATAAAGAATTTCACACGATTTTCAAATGCAAATCGCGTTATACTTCATTTTTTTTTTGAGCACACCGAATGAGAAGGGAAAATAAAAAACTGGATAGAAATTAACACTTTATGCGGGCTTTTTCTTGACGAAGGGCCCTACGTGGATCGATCACACGGAACCGAATGAATGGCAGCCAGCAGGTGAACCGGGCTTTTATAGATCCCCGATAGCCAGCAACCAACCAACCCCTTCAATCCTGGCCAGCTTGGCCCGGATAAGATAACCCAAACTGCAGATGTCCCAAAATGCCCGCCTAATGGGGATGATAATGGGTTGGCAGGAGCAGATTGTCGTATCCATTGGAGAATCGAGGAATTGGGGAATGGGTTATCAGAGATGAGGGCACACTTATCGCCGGCCGCCTGGCGCAATTATGCAAAACAATATGGTGACCCAACTATCGATCCAATAGATAACATCCAATAGATAGTCAATGTGAGATAGCCGAGCAGGGAAAATCAAGGAAAACATATACCAAGTGAAGAAAAAAGAACTGAATAAAACCATAGAAAACGATACTATATACTATACAAAAAACGTAAAATAAGGAAAAGTAAAGTTGGGAAAATCTAAAAACCATGGGCTTGTAAAATTGTTATAATGTTAAAAAGAGGTTCCTAACAATAAATATATAAATATTTTACCAACAGATAATACAGATAACCATTTTCCATATCGATTTCTCCAATCGTTCGACTGTTCAGATTTCACCTTTCCCGATAAGCAAAGTGTATATATTTTATCTCTAAATATTAAATGATGCAATTTTCTCGTATAATTTATGTTCCTTATTTTCGATGGGAAATCATTTTTACATTTGCGATTAGCTAATCAGGTACATGTTTTTATAAAGCCTTAATAACGATGAGCGGAGTTATGAACAGCAATTTGGCAAGTTAAAGTTCAACAAATACAACAAATATACCCTTTTTGGTAACAACCCAAACTAACGAATTCCATCACATACCGGAAAATTAATTTTTAGTAAGGGGTTACATCACAATTTTTTTGTTGGTTTTCTAGTCATAATTTGGACAAATCGAGGCTCACAGCTAAAAGACCGATTGTTTCGAACAGCTAGCAACCTAAACTAACGATCCTCATCACTTTCTGGGAAATTAATTTTTTGATCAATTTTTGCATTTTTTGTAAGGGGTTACATCACAATTTTTTGCAAAAAATGGCAAAAATTCAAAATTTTCAGGTTTAAATGCAGATTGATAGGGAATTTTATTACGAGTTCAACGAGGTATGACATTCCATATTTAGATCATTATTTCAATTTTTATGACCAAAATACTATACTTTTTTGGGTGGAAAATCAGGATTTTGATTTTGGGTGCAAATTTGACATGTTTCCTAATCGATTTTTTGCTGTAACTTTGGCAAAAATGATCCCAAATCAAAAAGGCGTACTGTTTTGAGCAGCTAACAACCAAATAATTAATATTAGTAAACTTTCCGTCTGATTCACAAAAATCAATTTTCGACCCAATTTTCACTTTTTTGATAAGGGGTGACATCATAATTTTTTGCGAAAATTGGCAAAAATGAAAAATTTCTAGGTTTAAATGCAGATCGATTGGGGATTTTATTACAAATTCAGCGAGGTATGACACTCCATATTTGGATATTTATTTCAATTTTTATGACCAAAATACTATATTTTATTAGGTGAAAAATGAAGATTTTGATTTTTGGTACAAATTTGAAATATTAATATATATTCTGAGTTCTGAAGAATCTAAAGAATAGACCGAAGAACCAAATCCGAGCTTATAATAATCTGATTAAAAGTTTTTTAGTCGCAGGTACAGTTGTGCTTCATGAAACCCCCGAGAGATCGCCCCCCTTCCCCAACCGGATAACACTAAACGACACTATGCATAACCAACCCCGTAACCCCGTAGCTTCATCGGGAATCGGGAATCGCTGGCACTTAGGGTTGCGTTTTAGCGACTTGCCTAATCAGAAATAATTCGGTAAATTAAACAAGCAGCCGTCGAATGGAGGGCAGCGATAGGGTTAGCCGCACGCCCAGATAAGGCCAATAGGCATTTGGGCATTCGGGCATATGGGGCGATCGAAAAGGAGACTAGGGATTTATGACAGCCAGGCAAATACAGCCGAATGTGAAATCAAATAGAAATTTCATAATTTCGTTATTCATCGACTGGAAAAAACGTAGGCTAAAAAACAATTAAAATAGGTATTTTATGCACAATTTTAAAATGCTACGAAATATCCCTTTTTTGGCAAAGAATATGGTTTATAAATATTGGTTTTCAAAGGTCGGATTGAATAATCCTTTAATCCCTTTAATCTATTAGTAATAATATAAAAAGTCCCCCCAAAAAACGGGATGTTGAAACGGTAGTCAAAACGGTTGGACTTAAAAATCTAAAAACAAAAACCGAAATTCGGAAATATTTCGAAATCGCCAACTAGTTTTATATATATATTATATATCCACTTTTTCCAAACAAAATCAGTGATCTCCTCCTCATAGAACTCCCTTTTTTACATACATTTTTCTCTCCGTGTGCGACACACAATGTGGCATCAGGTAAAAAAGGCGAGAGGCACAGATAAAACTAGGGTATTGCCGACTCCTAGCTTATCGCAGTTTAAATATTAATTCAGGGATATGTGTGTGGATTGTATGTATGTGGCCAGAGATAAAGTAAAACCGGGCAAACACACTCCACAAACTGGAGTGCAATGTTTCCTGGAAGTGGGAGGAGGGCACCGGAAATGGTGGTGGTGGTGGGCAGCTGCAGGTCCCTTCACTTACCAATTGGCTTGCCCCCGGAGAAGATGTGCTGCTGCTGCTGGTTGGGATTCCAGCCTTTTTGGCTTCCTGCTTGTTTCTGCTGAGTTCGCGACGCAGGGCGGCTATCTGGAAAGGATTGGGAGAGGGATTAGATAGGCAGAAGGCAGAAGGTAGCGAAGCCATCTCACCTCGCGATCCTTCTCCTCCGCCAGCAGCTGCAGCGCCGTCTTGTCTGCTCCTCCATGTCCCTGCTGTGCTGCTCCTGATCCTGATCCTGATCCTGATCCAGATCCTGATCCTCCCTGATGCTCGTACTCCAGGTCGCCGGGTCCTGCCGTTTCGGCCAGCACCTCCTGGGCCAAGTTGGTTAGCTGGCCTTTGAGAGTGCTGAGACTGCTGTTCAGCCACGACATCTTCGCTGTCGGGGGGTGGGGTGGGGCTGGGTCGTTGCTCCAGTCGATCCAACTGTTATCCTTTCTTCTCCAAACGGCTGGGCGGCTTTTTAACAGGGCCAAATTCGCTTTGTTTTTTGGATACTTTTTTTTTGCGTGGCACGGTGCAGCTGATTTTGTTATTGTTATTGTTATTGGCCTGTTATCGATTGGCGATAGGCAAGCCGGGGCGATACTTTCTTTACTGTTTACTTTCGTTTAAATTAAATCAGTCAGATTTAATTTGTTTATTTTATTAATTTATTTAATTAATGCCTTTACATTTTTAAAGTTTTTAAGTTGACCTTTTAATCATTGCACTATGGGAAAAAGTCATTTTTTTTGGCATAAATGGAAAAATTAAACGTTACTCATTTTTTTTAATGCTAAAATGGTTAAATTTATTAAAACAATTAAAAAACAATTTTACTGGCCACCGATAACTTGTTGCAGCCGATTAAAGTCTATCGATTAACGTGCTCATCTCGAATAAAGAGGCGCGCTAATTTTTTAAAGTTTTTTAAGAAAATTTCTATTTGTATTTATCTATAATCTTTAAGGCCTTATCTTTAAACATAGAGTTTATGCCTTTTTTCCCAAAGTGCATTGACAAGAGATTTCTTGGATATTAACGATGTTATATATAGAGCTTTCATCATGGATTTGGATTGGATTTATTTTTATTTTAACTTTTAGGAATATCATTACAATTTAGCGTTTTTATTTTCCTTTTTAATTACCAGTTGTAACCAATTTGCAAAACCCTTTTTTCTAAGAAAGCTGTCAAAGTGCGATGATTTCTGTCAAAACAGTCAAAACTGCCATGTTGACACTTATGAGCTGTCATCTTTCTGTCAAAGAAAACCGTTGATTTCAATATAAACTTTTTTTCCGCAATTCTTATCACTTAAATGCCCAAATTCATATATTCCCAATGTAAATGGTAAAAAGAAAGCCACTCCGCTTGATAAATTCGGTTGCAACGTTTATTTGAAATCAAAAAAACATTTGCTCAACACAAACAAAAAGTGGTTGAGGAGAAACATCTTGACATGACTAATGAGTTGAGTGGGTGGCATGGTATTTACAGCCTGGTTGTAGAGGGAATCGCCCCTACGTCTTCTTTTCCGCCGATGATCCCCTCTAGAAAGTGCGTGGCTGGGAGCCGAAACCGAGGCCCACGCCGCGCATCGTGTGAGTGGCGGCTCGCGCCATCTCGTACTGCTGCTCCATGTTGGAGAACATGCGCTGTCGCTGCTGCACATCCGTGGGCACCTTCGCAGCGCCCGAGGCGGACGACGAAGCGGATGCAGCTCCTTCTCTAGCTGCTCCTCCTCCTCCATCGCCGGCTGCACTCCCATTGCTGGCCTCCACATGGTCACCACCACCTCCTCCACCACCAGCGCCTTCGGCATTCTTGATCCCCATCAGCCGCATAAACTTGGAGGCCACCTTGCCGTCCGAATCCTGCGAGAAGTGGGCATTGCCCCACTTGTTCGCCGAGTCCTCGCTCTTCTTGGATCCCCACAGCAGCTTGCGCTTCTGCTGCTGCTCCGCATAGCGGTTGGCATTGATGATGCCCGGATTGTAGTAACTGGGCAGCTGAATGGGTTCTAAAGCGGGTGCGGCGGCTACCGCCGGTGTGCTCAGCTCCAGGGACATCAGCGAGGGTATCTTGGGTGCGTAATTGGGTGTCGGCAGGAGGCCTCCTCCTCCTCCGGATCCTCCAGATGCCGCCATGGCCACGGCTGCTGCATTGGCGGCTGCCAGAGCGGCCGCTGCAGCCGCTGCTGCTGCTGTGGTAGCCGATGATCCGCTGGATTTGCCGAGCAGCTGATGAGCTCCCCCGCGCTGCTCCTCCCTCGGCGATCGGGAGCGACTGCTGGAGTCGCGTTCGCGGTATTTGCGCGACTGCTGCTGGCGACAACGAGGAGCGGCAGTTGGTGGCGTTCCAGTGGGCGTGCGGGAACGGGATCGGGAATCCCGGCGACGACGACTGCGATCATCGTAGGACCGACGTCCGGCTGCTGCATTCACCACTGCTGCAACTGCTGCTGCGGCGGCTGACGAGGAGGAAGAGGAGTTGTTGTGATGATGGTGGCGCTCCTTGCCGTGGTGGCGGCTGCTCTTCTCCGAACGCCTGCGGTCGCGATCCTTGTCGCGATCTCGCTCCCTCTCCCGCTCCCGATCGCGTTCCCTTTCGCGCTCCCTGTGGCTGTTGCCGTCTTTGGTACGATGGTGGCGATGATCGCCCTGGAAAGTAGAAAAGAAAGCATTTAGTTTCGGTTTATTGCAAAGGGATATAAATCGTGAATTTTAAATATTTTCAATTTTTTTATTATTTTTTTTTTGGCATTTAAAACATCAAAATAAAATAATTTATTAATGTCCAAGAAATATTTTTTTGGGATTACTTAATTTTGGTATAAATTATCAAATTAATTTCCAAAAAATATTAAAGAAATTTTGCCAGAGATTGCTATTTCTTCTTCAGGGATTTTCGGATACCTATCAAACAAATCAAATTTGAACAAATTTTTAAGATCAAGTATTTTCTTAGATTTTGTATCACGAATATAAAATATAATTTTAAATTAGTTATAAACAAAATTATACACTTTATAGGTAGAGCTTTAAAAAATATGGATATGTATGTGTTTTCTCTTCAAAACATCAATATTATCAAATCAGTATGGTAAAAATATCGAAAATATCGATAATTTTCAAGCTTTATATATAAGACAACGGTTCTTTTCTCCTTTTTATAAAAATAGATTTTAACTTTTAAGGACAAATATGTTGATTTTCATTCGGGATAACCCAAATTTGATGTACTAACAATTACTTGGGATTTTCAAGGATTTCCACTCACCTTGCTGTGATCCTTGTCGCGTCCTTTGTCGCGCTTCTCCCGCTCGCGATCCTTGTCTTTGTCCTTGTCCTTGTCCCTGTCCCGCTCCCGCTCGCTGTTTCGCTCCCGCTCCCGTTCCCTGTCCTTGTCCCGCTCCTGGCGGTGGCGGCTACTGGGCTGCGGTTCCTGCAACGAAAAGAAGCCAGAGCCCAGCGAGGAGAATTACATTAGAGCGAATCAACGAATATGCGCTGGCGGCTAAAGGATCTGATCTAGATCTAGATGCTAGATGCTAGATGCTAGTTACTAGATGCTAGATGCTGGGAACAAAAGAGGATGGGCTGTGGGCCACCAGCTGGGGCCTGAGGTCCTTTTTCCAGGGATTTTTGCCTAGATTGCTTAGAGAGTTGTTAAGTTCTAATTGATCGCTTTTTTATACTCACTTTCGTGCGGCTTGATCTCTCTTTCTCTTTCTTTCGCTTTCGCTTTCTCTCTCTCTCTCTCTCGCCACCAGTGAGTGGGTGTGTGTGTGTGTGTGCGGGCGTGTGTGTGGTGAGTGTGTCCTGAAAAATATGTTGGTTTTTTTTTTTGCTTTCTTTCTTTTGCTTTTCTTTCGGTGGGTCACACACACCCACCACCACCACCACAGCCACAAGGTCGCACACAAGACTACATATGTATGTATATAGTCTTTACAAATCTGATCGATTGTCGCATTATCGAGGTAGCTATTTGGTTATCGAGCGATTACTACGATCGGGGTTATCGTCAATGGTCGTTGGTCATGGTTTTTATTCTTGTTTTTTTTTGGTTTTGAAAATGGTTTTTCATTTGGTTTCAGTTTTGATTTGGATTTGGTTTCGTTTACGTAACAACAACAACAACGATAATAAAATGGTAGAGTTTAGTCATTTAAATATTAATTGGCATATAAAGTTTGTAAACTTAACTAAGCTGGCCAAACAACAACAACAAAGTGTGTAATCGGAAGCAGACCGACAGAAACAGAAATTTGGATGTTCTTTTTTTTTTTGTTTTCATAAAAAGCTGGCAGTGGCTAAATTTACACAATTTTTTCTTTTGATGAGGGTTGGAGCGCATGTCGCCGATCGTTCAGATCGATATTGGTAGTATGAACATTACAGGAGGCTAAGGTACAGCAGCTGACAAAATAATAGCGCCTTAAGAAGAATTATACATTTTTCAGGTATCTAATCTAATAATTCTAGAAAAATCAGCATTGCAACTAAAAAATTAGGGATATCTAACTTTCTGTCTTATAATATTACAACTTAAATTGGGTCCCTTAATTTGGTATAAAATATATAAATATAAATATGTGGGTAATGTATAAAATATTTTGTACAAAACAAGGTCCTGCAGGCATGACCCCGTGAACTTTGTTGAAAATCAATAAATCCTGCACGCAACTTTTCAATTCGTTGGAAACAATTTAGAGTTAAAAATATTGGTCAGACAAATTGAGATTGGTAAGGAACCTAATTTAAAGTATACAATAACTTTCTGTAGGTATTTTATATTGACCTACTATTGATTAACTGTGCTTCGCTAAAATGCTTACAATACCCATTTAATTTCTGAACATTTAATATTGCCCTAATTACTTTTTGTTCTTAACAACATATCTGCTTAAAAACCCTTAACTTTCTTTTTAAATAAATCTGTAAATTCCTTGGCCAAGGAATAATGGTATAATTTTTAGCATTTTTAATTCATTATTAAAAAATCTTTAATTTAAATATCCTGGCTGGTTATTAAAGCTACCTGACCTTGATTTCTTTGTAATTCAGAGAAATTGAGAACAAGGCTGCATTATTGATTGCTATTATTCTGCCCGCCACTGTAAGTGCCGTTTGGCACATGGAAGATCCGCATTCGCATCCGCATTTGCAATCGCATCCGCTCCAACCCAGAGACATACACACATACATGTATATAGAGCATATGGTATATAGAGAATATATCGATTTGGTGCAACGGCAATTCTTTACCTCATCCTCATCGATGCGGCCTCTGCTGCTGCTCCTGTGATTCTGCTGCTGCGACGTCGGCAGCGGAGGAGTGGGAGTGTGGGTGTGATGGCGTCGCTTCGTCCTCTCCCGCTCCCTTTCCCTCTCCCGCTCTCTGTTCCGATGGTCCTTCTCCCTCGGACTGTTGTTGTAGTTGTAGTCATCGTTATTGTTGTTGTTCCTCTGCTTTAGGAAGTTACTAGTAGTTGTTGTTGCTGCTGCTGCTTTAGCATGCGGCGACTGCTGCAGTTGTTGTTGTTGTTGTGGTGCCTAGGGGAATTTTGCAACTATTCAGAAACAGCAAATTCGCATTATTTTACTAAAGCACTAGGATACTTGAACTAAATTAGAGGGTTAATGAGTTGTTTTTTTTTTGGGTGATCAGTTATCTATTTTTCACGCATTCGCACTCACACACACACACACGCAGAAACACGCAGAAGGGCAAAATGAAGAAGAAAAAAAATGATGGAAATGTGTACACAAAATGCGCTCTGCCGTTGAGAACGGATTCTTTTTTTGGTTTTCAGCTGCTTCCGGCCTTGCGGAGGGGCTATATTTACCCGTATCTGGTAGCCAGCATCCTCCTGGTCGTCCTCGCTACTATAATTCACCAGGGCCTCCATTGTTTAATGCCAAAAATGTGAATTTTTAGCGCCCGACTTCGTCCAAAAAAAAAATAGGTAATCAATTGCTAGAGGTGGCCGAACGTCGATTCCTATACATTTTGGAAACATCGATAGTTAGTTTTGTCATCGATATTTGCACATCGATATATTGCGCATATCGACGCCAAGCTAACGGTTCTTTCTGGGGAATACCCCTAGGAATTTATTTTTGGAAATTTCAAATGCATATTAAATGAAGTTAAAAATTCATGGTGACAAATTTTTTTTATTATATTTTATTTTTTTTTATAAATTTATTGTTATATAAATGTGTAATAAAAAACCATTAAAAAAAACACAAAAAAAATATAATAAACTTTGATTTCCGTATTCTTCTGAAAGGCTTATAGCTCTACTACGGAATTAATGTATATTATTCATTTTTTAACATGCAGTTTTAAAGAATTATTCATAATAATTCAGATCTTATTATTTCTTATTACTAATAGAGTTATTATTGCTATTTATCACAAATGAATACGAAAAAAGAAGCAAAAATATGTTTTAGCCCTCAAATTCGTTGGTGATTAGTAAATATTTGGAAAAACTAAATCTACAACAACCACTACAAATGATGGGTGTCAAGTTAGTATTGAAAATATTAGTTTTATTTGGTATTATTGGAAGAATAAGTGTGGATGAGTTTTTTTTACATTTTAACATAAGTTTTCTGTTATATAAAATATTAGTTTTGATTTGTTAGCGTGTTATACAAAAAATGGAAGACAAAAAATAAAAATTATATGATTTTTGGCTCTGAAAATCTCCTTTTTTCAGCTTTGATTAGTTATATGTGCCTGTGCTTCTTGAAAGGGACTGGCAGCGGTGGGAAATTACTAGCATTAAAGGTGAGATCCTCTTCATTTTTGTTCTGCTGACGGGGAGCAGTAGCACTAATCATCAGAGTCACTTTCGACGATCCACCAGCCACTCTTACGATTCCTCTGCTTGTTGACTCCAGACTTATGATCTTCTGTGGAAAATATAATAATTAAATATTAATAATATTGTTGGCACAGTCGATTAAAGTACTATTTGCACTGGATTTGCCTTCTAAAACTAAATTTTCTAATTATCTAATCTATATTCTAATATATATTCTTTTTATAAAACAAACAATTACTTAAAGTACAAACTACAATAATATAATACTATCAAGACCAATAATTTTTTGGTTTTAAGGTAAATTGATTTTAAGGAAAATCTATTTTCAAAAATACTTCAACAAGCCAATAAAATAAAAGCGTATTTAGAATTTTGGAGGTAATCACCCGAAATGCTGTTCTTACTTGAACCCTGTGCACCGCGACTTGCCTTACGAGCGCTCCCCACTTCTTTTTGACCATTTCCAGATACAGATGCAGATCCAGATCCAGATCCAGATCCTCCTGGACGAGATCCATTATTTCCAGATCCTGACTTTCGCATTGGCTGTAGTAAAAGAAAGTACAAGAGATTTATATGTGGGATAAATTTTAGATAGAACAAAGAAAAAAATTCTAACAATTGATAAAAAAGTGTACATTAAATCTATTAAATTTTATTATTCAAAAATAACAAAAACATGATGAAAATACCAAAACAAAAGTTATACATTGGAACCCTAAAATCTTATAATTTATAATAATTTAAAAAAACATATTAAAGTAAATAAAAAATATATGATATGATACATTAAAAAATTCTCAAATCGTAAATAAAAAATATCTAAAAAATTGAACACAGTAAATTTGAGTATCATTTAGAACTCTTTTTAAAGTAAAAAGAAATATGTGGCAATTGAAAGAAAAGAATCATATAAAATCGTATTATTTTTAAATCATTTTAAAATAAATAAAATAGGTATATGTGGCAATTGATAAAAAAGTGTATATTAAAACTCTTAAATCTTATAACTTAAAAGCCCATTCAAAAACAACAAAAATGTATGAAAATTAAAAAAAAAAAACATATATACATTAAAACTCTAAAATCTTATAATTTATAATTTATAATAATAAAGAAAACATTTTAAAGAAAATAAAAAATATATGAAATATTATATGATTATGAATATCTGGAACTCACCTGCTGTTCCGCCTGGTTCCGCTTGGGCTGGGATTTGTTGGCTCTTCCGCCGTTCACCTGATGATGGCCATTCGGTGGTGGATAGTACTGAACCAAGGCCGCCGGAGTCCTGGACTCCTCCTTGTAGCACTTGCCCTGCGGCGTCTCGAAGAAGGCCTCCCCGTGAATGGCGTACATTTGGGCGGCATGGATCTCCATGGGCGAGAGGTTGACCAAGAACATATCCATTTTGGCCAGCGAATTCACAAAGCCCATATTATCCCACCAGTTATGCTGCTGTGGCCAGTAGGAGTACCAGTAGCCCTGCTGCATGGGATAGATCCAATAGCCAGGAACGCAGACCAAAGGATAGCCATAGTAATTGCTCCTAGCAAGCTTGGGCTGATTTTTGGCTCGATTATTGGGTATATTATTACGTTGGCTTCTTAACTCCACTGATTTGTTCTCCTCGCTCTCTGGTTTGACCAATTCTTCTGGCTTATATTCCCAAATATTCTGGCCGGACACAATGCCCTTCCAAAGGAACCGCATGGTTTCCATTTTGGCCACCAGTTTGGCCACCTCATCGTTGATCTGTTGCTTCAGCATGGCCTCCAACTTTCGCAGCATCATGATCTCATAACCAATGGGATTCAGTGGACGCTTCTCATCGGTTTGTTCCGGTTCGGTTGGTGGAGCCAGAATGGACAAATTCAGGGGATTCCGCCACGAGGGATATGGCAGGTCCCAGTCATCCAAGTCCATCATCAGGGGACCCAAGTCCAGCGTTAAAACCGAGGTGCGCTTGGGCTCTTGTGGACTAGAGATCAATAGGTCGTCGGAGGAATTCTCCTCGGGATCAATGGAGGGGGTCTTTGATGGAGAGCCCACGCAGACCGATGAGGAACTGGCCTTGGAATTGCTGGGTTTCCCCGAAGACTTGACTGAAGATTTGCTCGCTTTACCAGAAGAATTCGACTTGAAGAGCCCCGGTTTGATGAAACTGGCTAAAGTTAAGGTCTGGGCATTCTGGTAGTGATAGATCGAGGGACGGCGCTCCACGGATCCCGAGTGGCTGCTGCTCAAACTGCTGCTGGTGTATCTGTTCATGGTGGAGCCACTGGATCCTGATCCTCCCGATCCTCCTGATCCGCTGCTGCTGGTTGAGCTGCTGTGACTGTTACGACGATTTTCTGATAAAAGATATATATATATTAAATTATATCCCGAAAAATTCCCATTCAGTTCTTAAGTTCTAATAAATTATAAAGAATTCTTTTATTTTATAAAAGCATTTTCCATAAATTCAGAGTTGTTAAAAATATTTAGTAAAAATAGAAAGAGAGATAAAAGTTTAGTTTTCAAATAGAATACTTTAATCTATAAAAATTATAGACACAAATATTTAATATAAAAGCTCTGTATTTAGTTCGTATAATTCAGATTAATCACTTTATATTAGCACTTTTGAGCATAAGTAATGGGAATTAAACAAAAAATATATGGAAAAGGTATTTAGTAAAAATGAAAAAAATGTTAGGTAAAGTTTAAGGTTACACAATAAATAATATATTTATTATTTTTATTACCGAAAATAACTGGGATAAATAATAATAATTTAGATTAATCACTTTATATTAGCACTTTTATGGATAAGTAATGGGAATTAAAAGCTTATATAAAGTTTTAGGTTACAAAATAAATAAGATAATCTATAAAAAATATTTTTATTACCGAAAATAACTGGGATAAAAAACAAAAAAAAAAAGGAGAAAGAAAGGGACAACCATATATTCAAAAACGTGGTTATGATAGAAAGAGGGCTCTTCTTTTTCTTCATAAGTTCGCCATTTTCACACTTGTCACAAATTACACTTGCTTTTAGATATGAAATATATTTATAATATTTTTTTTAAAGGAAAGAATCGTTATAAAAATATTTGATTGTGCACTGGTTTAAATAGAACTGCAGAAAAAATCCGAGACAATGTTGGTAAAGTCAATGAAAAATGACTGGCATTTTTTTGTTGTTGTTGTTGCATTCCTTGATGCAAAAAGCATGTTTCTTTACCAACACTAGCCGGTAGAAAGAGCGAGATGGCTAGAAGGAGGGAGAGAAGAGAACAGAAGCCGGCCGGTAAAATTGGCAAAAAATTCGGCATGTGAGCTTTTTTTTCTGCGTTTTCGTGTTTTCTCCAGCAGATTCTCCAGGTTTGTTGTGGTTCCTAACTGGATTTTTGTTATGGCTAGCAATTCTACGGTCAGCACATCGAATTCCCCCAGTGTTATTTTCTGAATGGGGGCCCCCAATTTGTTTATACATTCGGTGGGCATTTGTTTATGACGCCGGACATACGAGCCCCATGGGATTGGAGGAGACAGATGATACTGATAATGACTTACCGGCCGGTGCAATTATTGGAATCTTGTAATAATTTGTGGCGGCAACCTGAGAAGAATGTTAGTAGTGGGTTTATAGAAAAAAAAATTAAGTTATAGAGTAAGTTTCACTCACGGCCGTATTCTTCGGAGTCTGCCTCACTTTTGGTTTTCGGGCCACTTTCTTCTGGATCTCCGACTCCGAGCTATTCGTATCGCTTTCGGACGAGAACTGCACACCATTCTGTCGCTTTCTTTGGCGCTTGCTAACGTACTTCATTTTTAATTCACTGGGGTTTTTTTTTGTCCCGACTTGGAAATCTTTTTTTTTTGCACTCCGCTGGTCCGACGACGTTTTCCCGGAAACGGAAAAGAAGGAAAGGACGGAATAACTCCAGAGATGACAAGCAAGTCGACTATGCAGCATCGATACCGTTAGGATAATGCGATATCGATGCATGGATTTTGGCGAACCGAATAGCTTTTGGGATCGCACCTTCTCCCCTCCCTAAAACCACGCTGGATTTGAATTTGAATTGAATAATGTGGAATAGTTTGTGTGGGAAGCTGCCAAGAATTGACTCTGGTGTTTTCTGCAGGCTTCCTGTTTTATCTCGAAAGCCTTAATTCCGCTAAACTGTGGCGCATGCGCAGAGATTTGTTTCCCAGAATTCAAAGCGATATTTTTTTTGAAAAAAAAGCGTTGCAACTAGAGATGGACTTTGAGCATTAATTTTTTTGTATTAAATATTGAAACCTTTAAACCTATTAAAACAGTAAAAATATGTTTAAAGTTAAGTAAAATTCACCAATATGCGGGCCAAAGCTAATTAAAATTGAGTTTATTATATATTCTGATAATTGAACCAAATCACGTTATTTAAGATAGTAAGCAAGTTTTTAAAAGTTTCTATTTATTTCTTTAGAAATATTTATTTGTAATTCATTCATAAAGTTTAGTAAAATTGACCAATTTGCGGGCCAAAACGAATTAAAATTGAGTTTAATATGCTTAAATAAGCAATAGATTCTGATAATTGAACCAAATCACGTTATCTATTTATTTATTTATTTGTAATTCAATATATAGAGAAGGCAACGCGGTTCGATAGGTGCTCTTCAAATATATCGATAGCAAATATTTAACCCTGAAAAAGAAGCTGGTCACACTAGGCGCGCCAAGTATCGAAACATCGATTCCCACCTCTAAGCGCGAAGAAATTGGTTTCTTTTGATTTTCACCTCGATCTGCGTCTTATTTCTGGCCGAGATTAGGCTAGGCATCATCCATTATCCACGATGGCCGAAGGCGACGACTACCTGTTTGCCCTGATGCTGCACGCCCAGCTGAACGAGGAGGAGGAGCCCAGAAACTCTCCACCAAGTGGGGAGAACACTAACAAAGTGAGTGGTAAATCCTGGGTAATCTTCTCCTGGTTAAGCTATTCCTACTCTCGCCAGGAATCGGACCACCAGCTGGCCCTCAAGATACAGGCGCTGCTCAACGCATCCGACGACGAGGAGGCAGCGGCGCAGCAGGCGGCGCCTGGCGATTTAGACAGCAGCTTTCAGTTTGTCTATCCCTCGAACAAAAGTCAAAATCATTCCAAATCGGTGAGTGCCCTGGTTTTCCTGTCATTCCTGTCATTCAATCATTTAATCCCAATCATTCCAATCCAGAAGCAGAGCACAATGAGCAACAATAAGAAAACTACGAGCAAAAATCGCGGTGGAGCGGGCAAGGAGCCACCATACGCTTTGCAGTCCACCTACGATGATTATCTCAATCAGACGCAGAATCTGGTGCATCCGCAGTGGGAGCTGGTCGATCCCACGCCCGATATCTTTGCCATGTTCCTGCGCTTCGACGATAAGTTCTTCCAGAAGCGTCTGGGCGCCGTGGCCCTCGAATGGAGCAAGAAGATGTACTCCTGCGCGGGAATTTGCTACCAGCGGGGCAATCGTTATGTCAAGGAGGTGACCATTCGGCTGAGCGAGCCGCTGCTTAAGTTGCGTCCGCGCAAGGATCTCGTGGAGACGCTGCTGGTAATATATACTTAATATATAGTTAATATCCTCATATAAACCCTTTAAATTCCCAGCACGAGATGATCCACGCCTATTGCTTTGTGCTCAACATTCGCGAGGGCAACGGCGGCCATGGTCCCATGTTCAAGCGCATCATGGAGACGATCAACAAGGTGGCTGGGACCAATATCACCGTCTATCACTCCTTCCACGACGAGGTGAACGCTTATAAGACGCACATTTGGCGCTGCACGGGCATCTGTCAGAATCGCACGCCCTTTCAGGGCTATGTAAAGCGCACGAGCAACCGGGCACCTGGTCCAAATGACCAGTGGTGGGCGAAGCATCAGCGGGAGTGCGGCGGCACCTTCATGAAGCTGGGGGAGCCTGCAAAACCACCCAAACCCGCCAAGAAGGAGAAGAAGCTGCCCGCTGAGGCTTCCTCCATGCGCAATTGGCTGGATAGGCCACCGGCAGCCAAGAAGCCGGACAATCTGGAGGGCAAAGGGCCGCCAGCTAAGAAGCCAGCGACTGGCGAGGCTTTGCTGGACAATATGGAGGGCAGAGGGCCACCAGCCTGGTTTATGGAACGCATTAAGGGCTCCTCCAAGTCGCGTGGTGCCAACATCATGAGCTTCGGCGATCTCAGCAAGAGTGGCGAAGCAGGCAGAGGATCCTCCTCCTCCTCCCAGATGAGCGGAGCAGGCTACAGCGTGGGTGGCGCCAGCGAGGTGATCGATATAACCGGCGATGAGAGTCCCGATCCCTCGCAACTACGCAAGATTCGCCTGGAGCGCTTCGAAGGAGGTAAATCCACCAACCAAAAGCGACGTCGCGGCTCCGAGGATGAGGGAATAACCACCTGGGAGTCGTACGACGAGGATGTGATGGTCAGGGACGTGCCCACGCCCATGATTAACCTGCTGAATAGCGATGATAGCGATGAGGAGCAGGAGAAGCCAAAGATCAGGGCCAGAAACACCATGAGCAGCCAGGAGCGCACGCAGAGCATCAAGCGCGAGGTGATGGAGGACGAGGCCATTTACTCCGAGGACGAGATCCTCATGATCGACGACGAGTACGATGAAAATGACGATAGCCTCACGGCGGCCACCGAGCTGGCCGATCAGTCGATTTTAGATGATCTCTTTGGCCAGGACACGCTGCTCGAGGAGTTCCAGCTGGAGAACTCCGTGCAGCCGAGCGGATCGCGCGGATACTCGAGCAATGTGGACAACGACATTGTCTCCTGTCCCATTTGCTTCGAGAAGATGAAGCGCACCGAGTTGGGCAATCATTTCGAGGGCTGCACCATCACCGTGCGTGTGGAGCCGCCGTCGTTTAATAAGAAGAAGCCAGAGGAGTCTAAAGCCTCCAGGAAGAGCTCCTCCTCCTCCAAGCAAACCCTGCGCAACTGCGGCTACACCGAAAATGAGATAGCCAAACTGAATTTGAGCTCCTCCTCCAGCGAGGATGAGCTAACGCCACGCCAGCGCCGCCAGCGCAATCTCTTCAAGCAGACCGTCGGCTGCCCCAAGTGCGGCCAGGAGCTGATGGGCCACCAGCTGGAGGCGCACCGCTCCATTTGCAAGAAGAGGCGTTAGAAAGTTAAATTTATCATTCTTTGTTTTCTAACTGATTAAATAATGTTACAAAATGCGACCGAAATAGCGTAGATTCCGCCTCTCCTCATAGCGCTCCGCCAGCTGCGGCCAGTGGACCACGAAGAGATCGGCCAGCGGCAGGAGCAGCCTTCCACTCAGCGAAAGCGTCTCCACGCGACAGAAGCTCTCCACGAAAACAATCCTCGAGTGGGCGGGCAGGCGGCCCAGGAGGCGCCACATCCAGGCGGCATAGCAGAAGGGCACACAGGTGCCGGGTCCATTGCACAGGATCAACTGCGGGCGGTCGCGCCAAACGAGGTAGCAACTGAAGAGGAGCGACCACAGGGCGGTGAACAGGGTGCTCAGCCAGGATTGGCCAACGCTGCGGCTGCGGGGCACGCGGATGCACTCCGCCCGCGAAGCCACCTCCGGCAGGGCCTCCCTGAACTGCCGCTCCGATGTGGAATCGCTGCTGGCGAGGATTAGGCGCACAGGGTGGTATTCCTCCGCCCGCTGGTTGTCCGCCGGCTGGAGCAGCGCCCGGGCGAGACGGCACATCTCGGCGGTGTGGCCGCCGGAGCCCAGGATCACGTAGGTGGGATGCGGCATGATCCTCGCCAGAAATTCAAAGTGATAACTTTGTTTACATCCCAAGGCGATAGTAAGGTATCGACTATCGAACTAGTTCTATCGATGGCAGGGCCAGGGGATAGTGGCGCCACCTGGGCGGAAAAATAAGGGAAATTAAAGGAGGTATAATTTAAAAACCCTTAAAAACCTTTTTTAAGGCCTTAAATCGATAAAATAACCCAATTTCAGGGAAGATTGACTGGCAGAAAAGTGGGGTATATATTTAAAAACCCCTTTTAAAGGCCTTAAATCGATAAAATAAACAAATTTCAGTGAAGATTGACCTGCTCAGAAAAGTGAGGTATATACTTAAAGGGGGTATATATTTAAAAACCCTTTGAAATCTTTTTTAAGGCCTTAAATCGATAAAATAACCGACAGAAAAGTGAGTTTTTTGTTCGATATGTTCGATAACTATTGAGCCCGTCGAACCAGAACCAGAATCGATAACTATGTGAACCGGAACCGTTTTGGATTCTTTGCCAGGAGGGCGCCATTTGTTTTCGCACTTTTATTCGGTTTTCAATCAGAATTCGCAGCGGAATGGCGGCTTCCGGGCAGCAGGACATGCCGCTGGATCACGAGGACATGACCCATGCGGAGATCGACGTCCTGGTGGCGGCGAGTGTGAGCCAACTGGTGCGGAATCTCTCACCGTCGGAGGTGAGTATTCAAAAACCGAAGGGAACAGATGCAGCCAGAGAAGCTATTAATCCGCCTGTCCCAGCAGACCAGCCAGCGGGAGTTGCGCCGCAAGGAGCAGCTGGTGGCGAAGTTGCTGGAGGAGCACCGCTGGACACGGAGACCCACCAGTAAGGAGGTTCAGAGCAGCCTGGAGGATCTGCTGGAGCGCTTTCGCTTGGAGGGCATGGCGCCGTTTTCCCAGAGCGTCGAGGAGTTGGCCATTAAGTACCTGGAGCTGCATGATCCCGCTCCCCATGTGGGCTGGACCATGCTGGACTTCCTGCTGGGTTTGTCCCACAAACCGGTGCAGAATATCCGGCGCCGTCGCCTGGAGATGGACCACCAGCGGGTGGCTTTGATAGCCGGCACCCGGGCGTCTGAGCAGCGTCAACTGGCCGCGCTGGAGGCGTCCGTCCGCCGCCACCGGCCACCCGCCAATCCCGCCGAGACGGAGATCGACTGGGTGGCCCTCCTCAGCGAGGACTTCCTGCCGCCACCGTCGCCGCAGGACGACAGTTCGGACAGCCTGAGTGTGAGCATCGGGAAACTGGGCATCTGACAACCCTTAAAAAGAGATCTCCTCGAGGATTTCATTTCCACCCAGTGTGGAATGACCCACAATCCTCTGTGATACTTGCCTCTAAAACACTAATTTTAGTTTATAACGCTTATAACTTGTAAACCCACTAATAAACATCCTAGTTTCCACTCCACTGACACTATGTATCACTAAAACACCTATATTTGTGTGTAGAATGAGCTAAATTTATGATATATGCCACTAATTCTAGCTTACAACTTGTAAACCCACTTGTAAAAGTCATAGTTTCTATTCCTCTACCACAATGTATCACTAAAACATACATATTTCAGTGTCGAATGAGCTAAAATCCTTCAAATATGTTGTATGTAGTGTACAAATTATGAATTCCTTTATGAAACATGCCCATATACCACTCTATTTGGTTTATAACTGGTAAACCTACTTATAAACATCCTAATTTTTATTTCACTTTCGCAATGTATCCTTAAAAATACCTATTTGTGTGCAGAATGAGCCATAATCTTTTTAATATGCAGTAGCATCCATGTAAACCTATACATTTCAATATACCATTTATTTTTGTTAATAGCTTGTAAAAGTACTTATAAACATCCTAGTTTCTATTCCAATTTCGCAATGTTACTTAAGACAGACCTAATTGTGGGTAGAATAAGCTATAATCATGTAGAAATCATGAATACCTCTATGATATCTTCCCCTACACTACTAATTTTTGGTTTATAACTTGTAAAAGTACTTGTAAACATCCTAGTTTCCATTCCACATCCACAATTTTTGACTAAAACATACCTATTTGTGTGTAAAATAAGCCATAATCTTTTAAATATGCACTATTTATATGTTATATGCCCCAAAACCACTGATTTTCTTCCCTTAATTCTAGTAATTCAGCTTACTAACGCACTTTCCCCCTTCTTTCAAACAGGACTGGTCGGATGAGTCGGACGGCGACTCGACGACCACTTTGCGCCCCGACGAGAACGCCGGCACCTCGCGCAGCATTCCGGACATGGCCAGCGTCTACGAGCGGGCGATGCAATGGAGCTCCGTTCGCAAGGGGGGCGTGGGCAACACCGGCTATCTGCCTGCGTCGCTGGGCGACTCCGGGGCCTTTCGCATCGCCCAGCCACTGATTCTCAGCCTGCGGAGCAACTGCCAGGTGGGTCGGCTGGCCAGGAGCCGTTTGCCCCAGTTGGCGGCACCCCAGCCGCCTGTTCCGGCCACTAAATTAAGTCAGAGTCTGCGGAATACGGAGATGCTGGAGCGTCGCATCCACGCCCACTGGTGGCGACCCGATGTCCATTTAAATACCCTTCCCCCGAACTCAACGCCCTTGGGAAACTTTGCTGTTAGTTATGTGCAGTTCCTGAATCGCCAGGCGCGTGGAATGCTGCAATTGCCGCTGCCCAAGACGGTCACCGAATCCTGCCTGCTCCGCGAGATCCTCTTCATGTTTGTGGCTCCAGCCAGCTGCTGTTTCTTTGAATTTGATGAGACAAAGCGACGGATCAGCGTGCGCAGCAATGTCAGTGTTTGCAACACGACAGCGGTGGGAATTTATGATTTAATTTATGTAATTTCCTATGCTAATCTATAAACTATTTATCAGCCTAATTTGAAGGCCTATCTGGAGCTGAATGTGGTGCCTGCTTTGGAGGATATGCTGGAGCTGCGCCGGATTATCGATGCCCACACGGTGCACTTTAATGGGATGCAGACGACTGGGACCTTGGAGTGCTTTGCCTATGGACTGCGGGATCTGCTGCGTCCCATAAGCCAGCTTCTCATCGCCTACGAGGATCGGGTGGTTAAAGAGCCGGAGAACACTGGACTCCTCCGATTTGTTAGTGAATTCAGTCGGCATTTTAAACAGCTCCGTTTGCTGCGTCACCTGGGCGAAGATTGCATCTTGACGCAGGGAGCTCCTCACCTTCGCAGCGCCTATTTGCTCTGCCGCCTGTACAGGCACACGAATCCGCAGGTGCTGCACCAGAAACTGGCCACCGGGCTGCTGTTGGTCTCGCTCAAGCGCTACTGCCACATCATCGACGGCTGGTGGCGCAGGGCGAAGCTAGAGGATCGCCTGAATGAGTTTATCGTGGAGAGATGGTGATTGTCTATTTAGGTTTCCAGTAGAATATATAGTAATAAGAGCCCTGCATGAATATTTCTGTGTAGAATGAGCTAAAATCCTTTAAATATGCAGTATCTAGTCTATAAATTATGAATTCCGCTAATTAGAGCCATGCATGAATGGATTTAATGAATTTTTTTTTAATTTTTTGTTTTATATAAATGAATTATTTAGAATTTTGAGTTTAATAGAATTGAATGAATTTGAATTATAGTTTAATAGAATTGAATGAATTTGAATTTTGAGTTTAATAGAATTGAATGAATTTGAATTTTGAGTTTAATAGAATTGAATGAAATGGATTTTTGAGTTTAATAGAATTGAATGAATTTGAATTTTGAGTTTGATAGAATTGAACGAATGAATGGCATGAATTCCGAAATAATTCAAACGACAATTTCTTTTGAAGAAGAAAGGGACTTAATTTTGCATGAATATTATTTTCTAAGCAGTTAACATTGATTTGTTAAAGATGTTCCACTTTTTGTTCTCAAAAGAAAGCACAAAAAAATCTGAAAAATTCATAAAAATTATTCATTCATTCATTCAATTAGAAATGAATTAGAAAAACATTCAATTTATTTCACATAGAATTGAATTAAACAAATCAGAATTTCATACTATACTATGCATACTATGATAAAACAAAAATTGAATGATTCACGCAGGGCTCTAATTTAGGTTTCTAGTAGAATGTATAATAATGTATAATTTACAGGGTCGAAGGGAACGCCGATCGACGTGGCTATGTGAGGGAGCGTTCTGTGAATGAATCTCCAGAGATCTCCAGGCAACTACATGCCTGTCCCCTTTACCAACTGCTACTCAAGCATGCCTTGGAATCCGGAGAGACGCAGGACCTGCTGGCCAATGTGAATCTGCTGGGCGAGATGCTGGCCACCAGCAACGAAAGCCAACCGCCCTCGCTGTACGAAGAGCTTGAAAGCCAGCTGTTTGCACAGATAAAGGTTTACTGCGGCGACTGGGAAAAGGATAATCAGCAGGAGGAGGAGCAGGTTAACCAGGAGTTGGAAGAGGATAAAGAGCAGGCGGCCCACGATGAACTATTAGTCAGCAATGTGCAGGGCATTAGGAATCTGGAGTTCTTTGCCCTGTTCACGCAGCCAGCGCAGCGGCGCATCGAAGAGCGCAAAAGGCAGGGGGAGAATCAGAAAAAGAAGCCTGTAGAATTGGCAGCGATAATCCAGCGCCTGGAGAGCTCATCCCCCCTTTCGCTGAAGGCCGAGATGCCGGAGGCGCTGGCGGAGATTCTACGCAGGCGTCAGTCGCTCGCCAATGAATATGCAATGCGTGCGTATCGCGAGGATTTGCGGCTGGGCGAGAATGCTCGCTTTCTGCGGCACACAATGATGCTGGAGTCGTACTACCTGCTGCTGCCCTTTTACACCTCGCTTTTCGCACGCATTGAGAATACGGAGAACTGGGCACGCGACTCCCTGATGAGCAGCCAACTGTATGATGTCCTATCCCCTCACTATCCGGATTTCGCGGACAATCTGCATGTGCGTGTGATCTCCAAGGTTACTTGTAACTCGAGTAAAGTCTACGAAGCTCTGGAGGCCTTGGAACTGGTCTACGAGATGCCAGTGGCACTGCAGCGCATCTTGAATGCGAAGCACATGCAGGGCTACAATTCTGTGTGGCGTCTGATGCTCAAGATCAAGTGGGCCGTCTGGAAGCTGGAGAGTCTCGGTTTCCTGCGTCGCCATCGGGATAATCCGTACGAACCTTTGGATCTGATTGGCTTGACCATTCGCCGCCTGGAGATCCTGCGCTTCTGGCTGATCTACCTGATCAACAGCCTGCACACGCACATCATGCAGGCGGTGGGCCAGCAATTTGAACTGCGCCTCGATCGCTGCACGAATATCCGGCAGCTGAGATTGCAGCATGACGATTATATTGCCTTTTTAAGAACCCACTGTCTGCTGACCGAGGAGTTTAGTGCCTTTCGCACCGCCCTCGATCAGATCTTCCATCTGATCTTCGTGCTGGACATGGAATGGACCAGCTGCGCCTGCTATCTGGGCGAAAACGATGCGCTCAGCCTGGACTTTACGCTCTCGGATGAGGGCGTTGATGACGGGAAGGCCGAAAGCCGCGGCATGGAGTATCTGGCCCTCAACCAGGTGGTGGAAATGGAGATGACCTACATACGCTGCCACCAGATGCTCGCCGAGATACTCAATTCGCTGGTCTACAAGCAGGATCATGGATTTCGTAAGTTCGATGCGATTTTTGATCTCAGAATTTGGCTAATAATTCTACTCTAAATCTTAACTTGTAGTTACCGCCTTGGAGGTGGCCATCAACACCAGTGTGCCGCATTGAATGGATTTAAATTGTTACCCATTAAATTATTTATTAAACTTAAAAGCTTGTTACCTCACTGGAAACTCTGTTTTATAAATACAATTCTTCAAGTTGTAAACTTCAAAATTGTACTAAACTTTTAAAACTGCTAACTTTCTGAGGTTAATTTTATAAATTATTAAATCTCATTCCTTACCTAACATTTCATTAGTGTTTTTAAAATAAAATATAATATATGTATAAATATTCAAATGTAAACTTAAGGAGTGTTTGTCTTGTAAAAGATATATTTCTTGCATTTTTTAAATCCAGTCTCAAAAACATTTTAGAAGAATTTTTGTTATGAAAATTGAAATCCCAAGGAAAAATTATAACTATAAGATTTTAAACTAAATATTGGAGCTACATGTATGATAAAATACTCAAATAATTGGAATCAATTAAAAAATCTTGTTATTTTGAAAATAATTTAGGGAAAAAGTTTCTTTAAGATTTAAAAACAAAGTTTCAGATTAGAGCTTGATATTATGTTATATATATATTATATTTATTAAACTTAAAAGCTTGTTCACTGGAACTCCTCGTCGCTGTCGAAGTAGGGCTCCACCAGCGGCGGCACCGGGGTGGTCAGCTCGTGGAGCGTGGGCCGCTGGATGTACGGCTGGCAGATGAGCTCGCACATCCGGGCGCTGGCGAAGACCGTGCGGTGCGGATAGCAGCGGCCGTTGATGTGCTCGCAGCGCCGGTAGCCCGTGGAGCGATTGAAGATGTACAGCTCGGCGCAGGGCGAGCAGTTCGTCTGGCCAAGGAGTCGTGGCCACAGGCACTGGAACCGCCGCTCGTTCGAGCTGATTCCGAGGGTCGAGTGACGGATGTGGCTCATGCTGGTCACCAGGACCAAGACGATGGCCAGCAGGTTGCGCCAACGCAGCTCTTGCTTGCGGTGCTGCATGGCCACTGATGGTCCATGTCCACTCCAGCTCATCCAATCCATTCGTTTAGCTTTCGTCACGCTTCTTTTGATTGATTCGCTTTCATTTTAAATGGGTGTTTTCTGCCTTCTTAAATATGTTATTCTATTAAATATAATAATAATATATTATTGTAATTATATCCTGAATAATCCTAAATGAATATTAATAATTACATATTATAATTATATTCACTGAAAATTTAGGATCTATTGTGGTTTCCAAAGTTTTCTTGGTATAATTAAAATGATAATTTAAATTATGGCCAATTTATTGATGATAAATTGTGTTTTTTATACAATTCGGTCAAAATAATAGCAGTGTGGGGAAACTTTCTATTATTCTATTCTATTATTTTAAATTAACAATAAAAAAATTACCCTATTTAAAATTCCTAAAAATGCAGTACTTAATAAAAAATATTTAAAAACTTAGTACATCAAACGATTTTAATATCTGCTATATTTTAAATTTAAAAAAAATGTATCATATTAATTTGTAAAACTTTGAATTATGTATTTATTGTTTTTTAAAAGTTCAATCAAGTATCTTTTTTTTAATATTTTTAAATGTCAAAAATAAATATTATTCTGCCCTTTATATATTTATAAAACTATTATTGCTGTGTTATTTATTTGTAAAATACTGATTAATATTCAAATCCGCTGACTTGGCGCCAGGACCTTTTGTTGGAGTGCCAAAGCAGCCAGCTTGTGTCTGACCATCGCAGGACCTGTCAGGACTTCTCGCATCACTCAGGAAGGAGACGTCGCTTCCAGCTGATTACGTTGCCGTTGGTTACCACGACCACCAGCGAAAAGTACAACAATCGAAGCTGCTGGAAGTGGCAGCTATTTCAGTGCAAGATTTCCATCATCCCAAGCAAAAAGTGGATTACAAGGACATCGAAAAAGTAGCAAAAATGTCGCACTCAGTGTCGCCACATCGGGCCAACCTGCTGCTCCAGATGCTCCTACAGGCGAATACCTATGTGTCCATGGTGTGGGCCATGAGCTACATGATCCACATGCTCATCCGGGTGAGTCTAGATGGTCATTGAATACCATTTCCCTCCCTTAATGGTTTCCTTTTCCCTCTACAGCTAAATAACTTGTGGAATTTGGAGGGCCTATCCATGCTGATGGCCTACATCCTGGCCATTTCCGCCGAATCCGTGCGCCTGTACGCCGGCTACTCGGTGAACCTGTGCTCCGGGGCCACCGCCATGTGGCTGCTGCTCACGGTGACGCCCTGCATCCTGCTGCCCGCCATGGTCTTCCTGCGCCTCTCGGCCGCCGGACGAAGTCTCTGGCTGCGCATCATCACGAATGCCGTCTTTGGTTTGATTGCCCTGGAGGTGATTGTGTGCCTGGTTCACTTTGTGATCTGCAAGCCGGGCAAGCGAATGTCTAGGATGTCCCAAGGGGAAAAGGAACAGGAACAAGAGGAACCAGGGGAATCAGAGGATGAGGAGGATGATCTGTCGTCGTCGGAGGAGGAGCTAAAGCTCAAGTCCAAGTGAAGCAAAGGAGTTTTTAGTAAGGCTCTGAGGTTTACTTCGCAACATTGGCATAAATAATAAAGTAGGATAAGCTATTTAAGCTAGGCTAAGCTAAGGAAACGTTCTCCATCGCGATCTAAATCACACCTTTCGGGCATCGTCCAGATTGTGGGCCCTCAAAAGGGCATCGATCGAGTCCAAATGGGCACGCATCGTGGGCAGGAAGCTGGTCAGCACCTCCATGTTCTCCACCTGGGCGGCTCCCTGGCCCAGCAGCTGGCTGCGCGTGGGCACCCAGCTGTAGATGATCTGTAGAAGGATTCATTTTAGAATGAGGAACTCAGAATTCGCCACTCATCAATCACCTTTATTGTGCTCTGGACTATGAAGCCGTGATAGGGCTTCAAGGTGCGCTCGTAGGCGTCCTGCAGGTGCTGCTTCAGTGCCTCCTTGGCCTGGGCATCGTTGTAGATGTTCTCGAAGAAGGTGCAAATCAGCTGGAGGCCGCGCTTTAGCCAGAGCAGCGCGTTGGCCGCAAAATCGTCCACGTTCACATTCAGCACGATCAGATCCTCCAGATATTGGTACTTCAACACATCCGCCCCGTAGGCTTTCGTTAATTTCTAACATAAGAAAAAAAAGATACATTTTCATCAAGATTTTCTTTCTTTTTCTTAAAAATATTCATTAACAAATTTCCCTTTCTTTTTAAAATAGAGCTTGAATATTTAAAACATCGATATTATCGAAAAGAAACTGTGAAAATATCGAAAACATCGATAATTTTCAAGCTCTGTTTTATAGATACAATTCTTAAAGTTATAAACTTAAAAATTGTACTAAACTTTTAAAACTGTTAACTTCTTGAGGTTAATTCTATAAATTATTTTTCGCTTGAAGATTAAATCTCACTCATTACCTAACATTTCATAAATATTTTAAAAATAAAATATAATATGTGTAAAAATATTCAAATGTAAACTTAAGGAGTGTTTGTCTTGTAAAAGATATATATTTCTTGCATTTTTTTTAAATCCAGTCTTAAAAACATTTAGAAGAATTCGTGTTATAAAAATTGAAATCCCATGGAAAAATTATAACAAACGGATGTTTGGATACGTGTGCTATAAGGTTTTAAACTAAATATTGGAACTATATGTATGATAAAATATTCAAATAAATGGAATCAATTAAAAATGCATGTAGTTTTGCAAATAATTTAGGCGAACAGTTTCTAGGAATTTAAAACCAAAGTTTTAGATAAGAGCTTGAAATAATATAGACAATTTGATATTTCTCTATATTTCAAGGAGATTTTCCGTTGAAAACATCGATATTATCGTATCAATATTGTGGAAAAAATCGAAAATATCGATAATTTTAAATTTTTGCGATCTCAACTCTATGTTAATTAGCTTATTTCAAGTTTGCTGCCAGGTAATCTTACGTTTATGTTTCCGTTCATGTCGCTGATCACGGGCGTAAACAGTTTGCCGAAGCTCTCTGTGGAAAAATAATATTTAAAAAAAATGTGTGGGCAGGTAATTGATTGGCCGGGTGCGCTGTTATCACCTATGACGGTTACTATCTCCTTGGAGGCGGCGAGGAAGGCCTGTGTCTCCAGCTTATCAGTGCCGATTGCTGGAAATCCCTTCAGCGCCTTGAACTGAATTCGCGCGGATCCCTCGGTGGCTGCCATTGTCTGCTATATTTTAACTATATTTTTTTTTTCGTTACTCAATATTTGTTCCGACCCAACGGCGATCCAAACGAAGACTGGCCGCAAATCTGCAAAAATGAAGGTGCGAAAATTGTTAGTTTTCGAACATGATTTTCGGTGTTTATCTTATCGCGCGGTTTGCCAGCCGAACGTTGAATATTATTATTATTATTTGTCGTATTTTTTGTCGTATTTTCGCTTTTCAATTGTCGCTATCGAACGACGTTCTCCGTCGCTGCTGCGATAATAGTGAGTCGAACACAAGTGGAATACTAGTTTGCCTGGCCTCCAAGATTCGATTCTCTTTGGAGGGGGAAGGCTGGGGTCGGAGCTTTAACCCATTTGAGTTAGCTCCAAGCCAAGGCAATCCAATCCACTGAGAGCGAAACTGAGCAAAACTGAGCAAAACCTGATTCGATCGCAGCTCTACTGTGCACCATGGGCAAAAAGTAACAAAGAGTGCTTACAAATATAGCTTTTTATAAAAAGTTTGTGGATGGTGGATTTGTAAAAGATGTATTGCTTAAGTCATAATTGTTGTAGCGTTGATCTTTTTTTTAACTTTTCATTAGTTTCTAAAAAATTTTTGAGAGCTAATTTCTTTATTGATCAGTTTTTTAGAATATACAATTTTGTTCCAAATATAATACTTTTTTCCTAAAAAATTCATATTTTTCAAACTACAAAATGGTTCAAAATCCTGTATTATTATTGTTATTTTAGAAAATTAATTCAATCAAATAAGTTAATATAAGCAAATTGAATTTTACATTAAAAAATATACCTATAAGTTATGAATACTTCTTGAATAAAAATAATAGTCAAATGATATCGTTATCAGCTCTTAAGAATTCAATAAATTTATAGCATTCCTTGCACTAATCATTATCAACTGGTTTTTTTTTTGTTTGTTGATATTGGCACCATTGTAAAAATTTGATTTTGGGAAATTAACAGCTGAAACTGAACGTCACCAAGAAGTTGGTAATAAGCGAAGGTATGAATCATCCGATGATGGGTGGACTTTATCAGGTAATTTGTTTAGGTGGCGGGGAAATCCATTACCCAGCATGTTTATCAGCTTAATTGATTGTACCTTAATTGGATTGACTTGAAAGAAAACGAAAGGAGCGCATCTTTGTGAAATTATTAAAATGTTTAAGTATTTTTAATATTTTTAAAGGTCGCTTCATGAGAGTAAAACTCATTATAAGTAAGTTTTTAAGTTGTGGAAAGTTTTAAGTGGAAAATCATAATTTTGATTTCTGGTAAAAATTTTACATTTTTCTTATTCGATTTTTTGCTGTAACTTGGTCAAAAATGGTCCCAAATTAAAAAGGCGTACTGTTTTGAGCAGCTAACAACCTAATAATTAATATCAGTAAACGTTCTGTCTGATTTGGAAAAAATCAATTTTCGACCCAATTTTCACTTTTTTGATAAGGGGTTACATCATGATTTTTTGCAAAAAATGGTAAAAATTAAAAATTTTTAGGTTTAAGTGCAGATTGATAGGGAATTTTATTACGAGTTCAGCGAGGTATAGCATTCCATATTTGGATCAATATTTTAGTTTTTATGGCCAAAATACTATATTTTTTTTGGGTGGAAAATAAAGATTTTGATTTTTGGTGCAAATTTGACATTTTTCCTAATCGATTTTTTGCTGTAACTTGGGCAAAAATGGTCCCAAATCAAAAAGGCGTACGGTTTTGAGGAGCTAACAACCTAATAATTAATATTAGTAAACTTTGCGTCTGATTTGGAAAAATCAATTTTTGACCCAATTTTCACATTTTTGATAAGGGGGTTACATCATAATTTTTTGAAAAATTTGCAAAAATTAAAAATTTTCAGGTTTAAATGCAGATTTATTGTGGATTTTATTACGAGTTCAACGAGGTATGGCATTCTATGTTTGGATCATTATTTCCATTTTTATGGCCAAAATACTATATTGTTTTGGGTTGAAAATCAGGACTTTGATTTTTGGTGCAAATTCGACATTTTTCCTAATCGATTTTTTGCTGTAACTCGGACAAAAATGGTGCCAAATCAAAAAGGCGTACGGTTTTGGGCAGCTAACAACCTAATAATTAATATCAGTAAACTTTCCGTCTGATTTGGAAAAATCAGTTTTCGACCCAATTTTCATTTTTTTGATAAGGGGTTACATCATAATTTTTTGCAAAAATTTGAAAAAATTAAAAATGTTCAGGTTTAAATGTAGATCGATTGGGGATTTTATAACGAGTTCAACGAGGTATGGCACTCGATATTTGGATAATTATTTCAATTGTTATGGTCAAAATACTGATATTTTATGGTGAAAAATATGGAATATAATTTTATTCGTTGACTCACCTGACTCCTCGAGCTGCTCGCAGTCCTAGGAGTCGCAGGACAGCCGCTTGGTGTCGCCACTGGTGGTCAGGACGAAGACGTAGTGGGTGCGCTGCTCGGCGAGCAGATGCCACAGGGAGGCGGGCAGCTGGAAGCGATGCACTTCCTCCTCCTCGAACTCCTCGTAGTGGGCCACCAGGCTGTTGCGATTGCAGCGCAGCTCGACCAGCCGAAGGGGGCGGCTCGAAAGGATCTCTTTGGTGTCCCGTTTCAGTTGGATTTCTGCGGCCTCAAAGCTGCCACTGGCGGTCTCCTCCAGTCCAAGATTGAGCCAACGATGGTGGGCCAGGATGACGGCGCAATTGCGGGCGAAATAGAAGCTATCGTGGCGTCTTTGGTTGTGGTAATTGTCCAGCAGCTGGCTGTTGCTCCCCTGGAGTTTCAGTTTGGTGAAGCGCGGAGGATTAACCGCTGAAGAGGAGGAGGAGGAGGTAGAGGCCTCTATAATCCGCTGCGGCAGATGCTCCGTGGGCTGATCCACGGTGAGAACGCGATTCAAATAGTCGAAGCCCTGGCCCATCACCCCATCGCCGGTGTGTCCCAAATCGAAGCAGTGGCCCAGTTCGTGGCACACGGCGCCCAAGGTGCTGGCAAAGACGCCGCCGTAGGTCCTCCGGTAGTTGCTCTCGTCCGGCAGCCGGGCGATGTCCACCCTCTCGCTGCTCCCCACACAATCCCCGATCTCCGCCAGCTTCCTCGGCCAAGCGTAAAAGTGGGCGCTTCCAAAGAGCGCCAATCCGCCGCCGCCGAGCGCCGCGTGTCCCTTGAGATGCCGCCGGATGTTCGCGTAGGAGGAGTCACCGCTGGCCGCCACAGCGTCGCCGTCGTAGCGCGTGCAACCTATGAAGGCCACGAACTTCAGGAGCAACTGGTGGCCCCACAGCGGGCAGGAGATGATTTCCCCCGCAAAATGCTGCCACAACTCGTCTTCGCTTTTCGCGAGAGCCTCCTCCCGGGTCAACTGGCTGCGAAAGGTGCAGCACTCGCCATTCAGGGTAAAAGTGCGATTCGGGAAGCCCGCCGCCTGGAGTTTGTGCGCATAGATGGACTGCACCAGGCGGAGATTGAGATCGATGAGGGCGAGCAGCTCGCGCTGCTGCTCCGCTGGCTTCTCCTCGTCGCGGCAGAGCAGGTAGAGCGGCTGCACGCGGTAGGAGCTGCGGCGCCGCCGGTAGCGGAAGCGAATCCTGCGGGCGGCCGTGCAGGAACGCAGCTCCAGGAGGCAGGAGGATGCGGTAACCTGCTCCTCGCTTTGGTAGGAGAATTCACCTCCCTCCAAATCGAAGAGCAGCTTGAACTCGCCGCCGGCTGAGAGCTGGGTGAGCTGCTCGCGCGACTGGCGCTCCGGGAGATCGAGAATCGCCTTCAGCTGGCGCGCCGTGGAGCACTTGGGCGAGAGGCGTCCCTTGACCAGCAGCAGGCCGTGCTCCACGCACTCCGCCTCCAGCGGCTGCTCGACCTCGATGCTGTGCGCACGCTTGCAGCCGGCGGTGCCGCTGCTCATTGCCAAATCCTCGCCAGAATCGCGGCTTTCTTCGTTTTTTCTTTAGCGAACGATACTTATGGCAATTGGTAGATCTTCAAAACATCCAATTGGAAAATCCCAACAGAGGCACAGGGTACCGGTACTTTCGATAGGCAGGCTAACAGTTATCGAACCGGTTCCTCTTACACTGTATCGGAATGGGGGTGTCACTGGTAAGGAGGTAAGAAAAACTATTTTAAACTATTTAAATTCCAAATTGGGGTTAGAAATTAAAGATATAAGATATTTTCCGTCAAAAATAAATTGCGGAAGAAAATATTTTTATTTTGTTTTTAAGCCTTGTTTTCAAATGAAGATTTTTAAACTATACTGTGATTTTAAATATATACATGTTTAAATATCTTCTCTTGTGGCTAAATTATATTTAAAATTAAAAAACGACCATTTAGAAAAGACAGGTAACTTTGTAACGAATTTTAGTTGTAACACCTTTACGAGACCTGAAAATGTGCATTGTTATATAGAAAGAACTACTAACAACATATATTTCAATCGGTCTCTAAACGCTGTTCACAAACACACATTTTTAAACTATTATTATTTTTTTAAATGTCTTTTCTTGTGGCTAAGGTATATTTAAAATTCAAAAACGACCATAAAGAAGAGACATGTAACTATTAAACATAATAGTGTGTATTTTTTATGTAGAAAAAAACCGCAAACATATTTTTTTGATTTAATTTAAATTTATGCTTTTAAAATATCCTTACTTTTGATACTGAAATGAAAAGCTGATAGGCTAATAACAAATTCAACAGTTTTGGAAATACCTCATATAATTACCACACTTGAATGCCCTACATGCCCTACATCTTCAATCGAACTGTTAATCGAAGGCCACATCGATATCCCTCGAACGGTTATCGAGCCGAGCTCTACGCGGGACGTATAATTTGTAATTAATAAATCCGCTCAATCGCAACTCTGGATGCACCTGGCGATGCGGACATGATCGCCGTCGCAGAACCGCCGCTGGAGTTTGTGCCGCGCGGCCGTCAGTCGTCCGCGGAGCACCCGGGACCGCATGACCAGCCATTGGCGCGTCACCAGCTGCCCACCACGGAGCACCTGCTGCTGCAGCGGCTCCAGAATGTGAATATCTCCTCCGGCGGCCTCGAGGATTCGCCCTCGTCGGGTGGCCAGGAGTCGTGGACGATACGGGAGCTGTACGATGACTACGAGGCCGCCGAGGAGCGGGCCGCCCGGCGGCGCCAGCTGATCGAAAGGACCAAGCGATGCGGTCCCAAGGCGGCGGCGGCCACGCAGCTCACCTCGCTGCCCCAGAGCCTCCTGCATCCGCAGGTGGAACGCGGACGCGAGGAGCCCATGTGCGACTATGTGGTGAACAACGAGGAGGAGCTCTATGTGCACCGCAACACCGTCGTTTGGACGCAGGGCTTCAACGATGACGATGATGATCACGAGAATGGGGTGTACAAGCGCATGTGCTTCACCAGCGACTCGCCGGTGCGCTTCGCCTGCTTCCTCAATCGCAGCTTCGTGAGGGGACGACTGGCGCAGCTTAAGGCGGCCGTTCAGTCGCAGGATGACCAGCTGACCGCCATCTGTGTGATGGATCAGGATGCACTGCGTGTGTACTGCAATGATGGCGAGGATTTCCTGGCCAATCTGGACTTTCCCGTCTCGCAGGTGTGGCAGACCAAGCATGGTTTGCTGCTGGAAAAGGATTCCAGCAATGCCTTGATCTCTCATCTTTCGATTCCCATGCCGCGACTCTTCTCCATGTCGCATCCGCTGCACGAAGCCTGCCCGGTGGTCCTGAAAACCGCCACCAGCTCCACGGGCTACATGACCGAACCGGAATTTAGCGTGGTCTTCACCACCGAGGATTCGGATTTGGTGCTGCTGTACGACGCCAAGTTCTTCAAGCATTTCGTGGCCCGGCTGCGCAAGGTGACGCCCGAGGAGGTCAACTATGTGGGCCAGCAGCAGCAGGAGCTCAGCCAGACGCTCCTGGGTCCGCGCTCCCAGATGGGCGGCAATAGCTACAGCTTCAGTTCCACCAAGCAGACGGGGGGTGAGTTGATTTCAGGGGTTTACTGATTAGTAATCGGATTTTGCATATTTTTGCCATTTTTGGTACGATTTTTACCAAAATTTCTAGGTAGGTGTCTTATTTTTCAAATGTAATAAATCTGGGTGCATATCGGAAATATGCAAAATATATATGCATAAAATATATGCAAAATATATGCAAAAAATATGCAAAATATGCAAAATATGAAAAATATATGCGAACAACTGGAGGCTCAAATTTTAAAAATATAAATAGGGTTTCCTTAAATCTGGGAAAAAATTAGATATCTCAGAAATTAAGAAAAGGAACAAACAATTTTCTTCGGGTAAATTAGGTTGGCTATGAAATCGTCAATCTTGAATAGTTGAGTTTATTTTATATTTTGCATATTTTATGCATATGCATTTAATGCAAATATGCAAAAAAATCAAAATATGCCATTAATATTAAACTATATAATTATTAAAACGAACTTTTTCCTAATAAAAGTATGAAAATATGCAAAATCCCAGGTCTAATGATTACAGATCGTAACTAACTTTAATTTACTAAACCTACAGCCACGCCAAAGGCGGGAAATGCCTCGTTTCTGGGCAGGAATAACACCACCGCCGGCCTGGGCAACCTCTCCAAGTTCGGACTCAGCCAGTCGCAGTCTTTCAGCGGAGTTCTGGGCCAATCCAAGTAGGTTTTTCAGTACTCACTTCCCTTAATCACTTATTAACTGGTTATCCTTTACAGTCGCGCTTCATTAGGCACTCCGCTAAGCCAACTGCAGAGCAGCATTAGCCAGCAGTCGATGTCGGTGAAGGACATGCGCAAAATGACGCATGTGAAGCCGGCCAAGCCCATTGAGCCGGAGATGTGTTTGGAGCACATTTGGACCGAGAACACCTATGGAACGCAGCGGGAATTCTGTGAAATGGCCACCCGGGCCTTTATCCACACGGATCTCGTGGGTCAGACCTTTTTGTGCTACCTGCTGGCCCGCTCCTGCCGCCTCCAGATGGTCAGGCTCACGGGCTACGGCAGCAGCGAGGTGCAGCTCTCTACTTTGGCCGCCACGCTGGCCGCCAAGGATGCAGTGGGTCTCTCACGCATGCACATGATCGCCGTTCTCGATCCGAGTGGTAGTTTGATCTTGTACACCGGCACCGTGCTGATTTCCAAGGTGCACATTACACCGCTGCTGGCTCCAATGGCTACTACTACTGCTGCTACTGCTGTGAAAACCCCTGCTGCAAATCACTCTGGCAGCAGCTCCTTTGTGGAGGTGCGTCGCAGCAGTTTGCTGCCCACCAAAGCACCCGCGGATTTGGCCGCCTTCGACGAGGAGCTGCACATGCTGTCGCCCATCGCTCCGCAGGCGGTTTCCTATACGCAAAGGCAGGCGCATAATGTGTGCAAATCTCTGCGAGATCCGGCGGGCAATCGATTGACTCTAGTTTATGCCACCGGCAGGATGCTGAGGATTGCCTTGCCTTTGCTAAACGATACGCGATTGCTGACCCGTTGCGTGGCCACTTTGCGGCAGGTTTTGAGCCCCGCACAGTTTCTGCACTTTGTGATCCGCTGGTACAGCGCCAGGAATCCGCCCGGTTCGAGGGACTACTCGATAGAGCAGGAATGGCAGCTCTTTCGCTGCACTCTGCTGGCTTTGATGGGCTTGACCGCTGCTCCGGATGTGGAGGCGGGCGAGGGATACGATGGCAGGTGTGCCACGCCGCCTTTAAATGCTCATTTCGGTGGAGTAGGAACAGCGAATGCCACTGGTTCCGGCGACGGATCCAATTGCAGCTCCAATTCCACGCTGGGCGCCCAGGATGAGCCGAAGAAGCGGCGGAAGTACAACGATTGCGAGGACTACACCGACGACGACTGGGAGTTCCTGCTGCTGCAGACGACACTCGCGCCCTGCGGTGCCGATGGCCATAGCTACAGCGTGAACATCAGTGCGCCACTGTTCCAAATGATACCCGCCATCTTCTTTAGCCTGCATCTGCTGTACGAGGATCTCAAGCTGGACGCTGTCTTCTATGCGGCGCTTCCTTACCTGGCAACGGTGAGATATGCTTTAGATTCTATGCACAGAAAACACATTTCATATCAAATAACGTCATTTCTACCTTATTTTATATTTTGTATATTAAATTGATATTCTATCATATCATATAAAATAACAAATTTAGGATTTTTTGAACAAATAATTAATTTCCATCTTATTTTTTATTTATTTCTTTATTCGTATTAAAATGATATTGAATTTACCAGCACATGTCAATCTGATCATATATGTTATATGCACAGAAAACAAATTCGATATGAAATTGGGTCAATTCTACCTTATTTTATATCAATAGAAACCCGATATGATTTATATCAAATTTTCGATTCAAACATATCAACTTGGTATTCTATCATATCATATAAAATACCAAATTTAGGATTTTTTAAACCAATAATTAATTTCTATCTTATTTTTTAATTATTTCTTTATTCATATCAAAATGATATTAAATTGAACAGCACATTTTTTATTTTTTAACCAATAATGTAAAACAATATTAATGTTCATCTTATGTTTTAATTATTTCTTTATTTATTATATTAAAATGACCAGAACATGTCAATTTAATCATATATGTGCTATGCACAGAAAACAAATTCGATATGAAATTGGGTCAATTCTACCTTATATTATATTAATTCATATCAAACTTACCATTCAAACATTTCAACTTGATATTCTATCATACCATATAATATACCAAATGTAGTCTTTTTTGAACCAATATTTCATGTTCATCTTATTTTTTAATTATTTCTTAATTCATATCAAAATGATAGTAAATTGACCAGCACATGTCAATCTGATCTTTTGTCAATTGATTTCCTTTGATATAGAGTATCTGCCTTTCTTATCCTTCCTCTCTTTCTTGCAGTTCCTTCACCAGCTGGCCATTGACATGCAGCTGGACAGCTACGTGCTGCACTACATCCTCGACTTCCCGGAGCTGTGCAATCGCACGGGCCGCCAGTCGCTGCTGGGCGCCGAGCACGGAGCGATGATGCTGCACCAGGAGCTCCTCCGCGTGCCGGCACCCAGTGTGTTTGCCCAACTGGAGCACATAGTCGTCGGCGAGGAGGAGGTGATGCCCTACAGTTTTGTGGAGTGTGTAAACGAAAGGAGTCGCAATTTGCTGCAGCTCGTTTCGCTGGTGGTTCATGGACAGGAGCGTTTGAAGCACTGGTGGCAGCTCCTCGAGATTCCCGAGGCCGTTCAGTCCAACTATCCGCGGCGTGCGAAGCGCAGCATTACGGCGGATGCTCCACGCTGTCACCAGATGCTCGAGTTGCTCCTGGCCATGCGGTTGACTCGCCGGGATATTGAACGCTTTCCCGCCGCCGTTCATTTGATTGTGGCCGAGGCTCTGGAGGAGGCTCGCCTGTCGCCGCCCATGGGCTGCAGCATGGCCACCTATGAGTTGATTTTACGTCCCGAACTGGCTGCCCATGCGCAGCTACCTTTCCTGGACACGACGACGTCGACGAGCACGGGGCAACCGCATTGCGGGCGGGTCTACAAGGAGGATTCCCTGTCGGCCAGATGCCCGCCGAGCGGAGGAGCGGAATCAGCGGAGTCAACGGAGCAGTTGCGACACGACGACATGGATAATATGGACACGAAGCTGCTGCGCCTGCGCTTCCCCGACGACATGCGCGTGGAGGAGGTGCGCCGGCTGCTGAACAGCTCGGAACCGGTGGTCATTGAGGTGCAGCAGGCGCCGGGCACCAGCGACCATGAGTTTATAGAGGAGCAGGAGAAGCAATTGTTTGCTCTATGCTCTCGTACGATGACTTTACCTTTGGGACGTGGAATGTTCACCCTACGCACAATGATGCCGCGACCCAGCGATAGTCTGGCCATGCCCAAGCTTTGCCTGGTGGGCAGGGAGCCGCTGAAAGGAACCACCATTGAGATGCAGCAGATTGAATTCCCGGCGAACATGCAAATGTGGCCATCGTTTCACAATGGCGTGGCCACTGGCTTGAAGATCTCACCGCAGGCGCAGGACATTGACTCCAATTGGATAGTTTACAATAAGCCCAAGACGCAGGCTAATAATTCCCTGGAGCACGCTGGTTTTCTCATGGCTTTGGGTCTAAATGGTCACCTGAAAACGCTCTCCTTCATGAGTGTCTACAAATATCTGGTGAAGTGCGATGAGATGACCAATGTGGGTCTCCTGCTGGGCATTTCGGCGGCCCATCGCGGCACCATGGATACGAAAACCACGAAGTTATTAAGCGTCCATTTGGAGGCTCTACTACCCGCAACCGCCATGGAGCTAGACATACCGCAGAGCACACAGGTGGCCGCCTTGATGGGCATTGGTTTGCTGTATCAGGGCTCCGCCAAGCGTCACATTGCCGAGGTGCTGCTGCAGGAGATTGGGAGACCGCCGGGACCCGAGATGGAGAACAGCGTGGAGCGCGAATCGTATGCCATGACCGCGGGACTCTCGCTGGGATTGGTCACCTTGGGTCAGGGTGAATCTCCCGCTGGGCTGAGGGATCTGCAGCTGCCGGACACGCTGCACTATTACATGGTCGGCGGGGTGAAGCGACCGATTAGCGGCTCGCAAAAGGAGAAATACCGGCTGGCCTCGTTCCAAGTGCGCGAAGGCGATAGCGTTAATATCGATGTCACTGCACCGGGCGCCACTTTGGCCTTGGGACTGATGTTCTTCGGTTCGGGCAATGCGGCGATTGCCGAGTGGATGCAGCCGCCGGACTCGCGCTATCTCCTCGATATGGTGCGACCCGATTTCCTCCTGCTGCGCACGATTGCCAGGGGCCTCATCCTCTGGCAAGACATCCGGCCGGACAGCGAGTGGTTCCACGCCCAGTTTCCCGCCAGTCTGCGCGTCCACCTGCGACTCCCGACGCGCGATGAGGGCTCAAACGGTGAGGACGGCGACGTTGACTACGAGGCCATCACGTAAGTTAATATCAAATCGATATGTGCATGGTACATTTTTTAAAATATAGTTTTTACCGTGGAATAGTGATTTCTCGAAAGAGAGATAGAGATTCTCTGTTTTCGAAAGTCCAATTTGATACCACTTAACGTAAAATCGATTATCGCTTCATATCAATTCGAAATAGAGCGAGATGGCGTTAAAGTTACATGAGTGGGAGGGAGAAGAACATATTAAAAATTCAAACTAGCCTGTTGCTTAATACCAAATAACGTAAAAACGATCATCGTTTCATATCAAGTTTATTTTTTTGGTTGTAGTAATTTGTTCAAGGACTTTAAATACTAATAACATACCCATTGATTAACTAAATAGTTAGAAATGGTTAACATTTCGAGTATATCGAATTAATATGCCGCATATCAAATCAAAAATAATACCACATAACGTAAAATCGATCATCGTTTTATATGAAGTTTTTTTTTTGGTTGTAGTAAGATGTTCAAGGACTTTAAAGACAAATAACGTAATACCCATAATAACAACATACCGCATATCAAATGAAATCAAATACCACATAACATAAAATCGATCATCGCTTCATATCAAGTTGATATTATCATTGATACCACCTTACTATCTATTCCCCAGGCAAGCCTACTGCAACATCATGGCCGGAGCGGCCTTTTGCATTGGCCTCAAGTACGCCGGCACCGAGGACATGGTGGCCTTCGCCACGCTGCGTGCGGTAATCAAGGAATTCCTCGGCTACCCGGGCACACCGATGGGCGAGTGTGCCGGCCGCACCACCGTGGAGAGCTGCCTGATGGTCCTGCTCATCTCGATTTCTCTCGTTTTTGCCGGTTCCGGCAACTGCGAGATCCTGCGCATCATTCGCTATTTAAGATCACGCGTGGGTCCGCAGTATCCGCACATCACCTACGGCTCCCACATGGCCATACACATGTCGCTGGGGCTGCTGTTCCTCGGCGCCGGTCGCTTCACCATCGCCAAGACGCCGGAATCGATAGCGGCGCTGGTCTGCGCCTTCTTTCCCAAGTTTCCCATACACAGCAACGACAATCGGTGGGTGGAGGATTACCTGGTTTTCCCGGCGTAGTAATAACCCTTCATTCCTTTATTTTCAGTTACCATCTGCAGGCGCTGCGACATCTCTATGTGCTCGCCGTGGAGCCGCGCCTCTTTCTGCCCCGCGACATCGATACCCATCAGCTGTGTTTGGCCAACATTTCGGTGCTGGAAGTGGGCGCCACCGAGCTGCGCCGCCTGCCCATCGCTCCCTGCATCCTGCCGGTGCTGAGCAGCCTGCAGCGCGTGGTGGTGGACGATGAGAACTATTGGCCGGTGTGCTTCGATCGCTCGCGCAACTGGCATCAGTTGGAGAAGGCGCTCGAGATGAGTGCACCGATTGATATCAAGAAGCGAACTGGGTGTTTGTCTCATTTGGAGGACCCCGACCGGCTGAAGAGCATGCTGGCCCAGACTTTGACCATGGAGCAGAGCATCTGCTGGCAGATCGACATGAACGACCTGCAGCAGTTTGCCAGCGAGCGGATGATAAAGCAGTTCCTCAGTCGCTGTTTGGCCACCAAGGGCACGGATTTGAGCTACCCGGAGCTGGTGAAGCGCCACCAGATGATGCTGCTCTTCTACAATGCCGTGGTCAAGGATCGGATGCATTTGCTGCCCGTTTACCTAACGCTATACGATGTAAGATTATTTATTTATTATTAGACCTCGGAGTTTGCATATTTGTCCATTTTTGGTCCGATTTTTACCAAAATTTCTAGGAAGGTATCATATTTTTTTAACGTAATAAATTCGGATGCATATCGGAAATATGCAAAATATTAGAAAAAAATATATACATAAAATATGCAAAATATATGCATAAAATATGCAAAATATATGCAAAATATGCTAAAAATATATGCATAAAATATGCAAAATATTCCAAGGAACCTTCACTCAACACGGCGAGCAATTTAAACGAGCAGTTTGGCCGATAGGTCCAAAAACTATTCTGCCTCTTTTGCTATTTTTATACTATATTTTTATTGAAACGATTTTTGGTGTTTTCGGAATTAATCTATCTTTATCCTATAAAAATATGCAAAATCCGAGGTCTATTTACTATTTATTTATTATAATAATCTGTAATCTCTCTCCGCCGCAGCACGTGACCAAGTCCATGCTGAACAACATCGATGTGTGGCAGCTAAAGCTGATCGATGCGTATTTGAGTCGCAGCCAGGAGTCGGAGCATCCACTAATCTCCGTGGAGCTCATCCAGATGCTGCAGGAGCTCTTCAAGCAGGCCATGGAGGACTCCACCCGGGAGTTATGCCTGCCGCTGCGCGAGTTTCTCAGCCGCAAGCGTCTGGAGCCGAGCTATGTGACCACTGTGAGTGGACCGGATTTGCAGCGAGCCTTCTGTGTGATCAATTACTATAATTTGCTGCCGAATATGTTGAGTGGCGTGGATTTGAGTGCGGGAACGGTGAACTATATGCGCATACTGTACGAATTCCGGCAGCTGAATCTCGGGGCGCACACCATCTTCGGGCTGCTCAAGATCCTCCAGTCGCTCCAGACCACCGAGGTGGTAACTTTGGATGAGGCGGCGCTATTGGCCTACACCATGGCCACCCAATGATCCCCGTTGGACATTATACTCTTGTGCGAAGCCTAGAATACATATATATGTTGTAATATATCCGCTTGAAACTCGATATTCATTGGAAATTAATCTCTGAAAGCTTGATATTGAAGATTTTTGTGTCATCATAATCAAAACTTTGCGCAAAAGTTTTCCATTTTCTTTTTTATTTTTAAAAGGTTTAAATGCGACGTTTAAAAACTAAAAGATCTTAAAACTTAAGATCCGATTAAGTTGAATTTTGCTTATTTTTTATGAATGAAGTTCTGAATTTGGAGGTCTTTAAATTGAAACTCAATTTGTTTTATGGTAATGTTATAAATATCACTTTATTGTCAAATGATTAATCCAAAACATTTGGGTTCGACTTAAATGTATGAAATTCTGGAATATAATACGCTTTATATGTATTGCATTGTTCCCAATTTTGTTGCTTTATCGTCTACATACTTAACGATGTATAAGTTATCAAAAAAAAAACAACCAATATGTACAAAAATACTACAAATAACGATGAAAACAATGCAACAGCCATCTGGATATGTAAAAGTCAGCCTCTCAGTAGGGCTTGAAAATTATCGATATTTTCGATATTTTCATAATATTGTTTCGATAAAACCGATGTATAAAATATCGACGAATAGCAAAGGGTCGTTATTTTTCAAGCTCTGCCTCTCCGATCATCTCAAACAATTCGCTCCGCTTCGGCCACGGAGACTTCGTTCCTTTTGGATGCAGTGCATCGCTTGTAGAGATAGATGCCCAGCAGTGGTAACGGCGTCATTATAGCCACCGAAACCGGCACCACTGTGGTGAGGTCCGCCTCCGGCGATTCCAGCGTCGTTGTGAGCAGGAAGATGGCGATGCCCGTGTTCTGGATGCCGGTCTCAATGGCGATGGTCAGGGCGTCGGCGGCGTTCTGATGGAGCAACTTGGCCGCCAGAAAGGCGATGATGTAGCCCAGACCCGGCAGAGCCATGCCAGCTATGATAATCTTTAAAGTAGGGTTAAAGTTCATCAGTTACTAGGTTACTTTTGCATTTTTGTTTAGTTTTAAAATGTAAGATAATACACAAATTAAAAACAAATGTTATCTACATCATTTAATGGATGTAAAGTTGGTTCCTAAAAGTCGTTCTACAGGTTTTTTTAATGCTTATTAAAATCAGAGAAAATCAATTCTTCAATAAATTACCAAAAATATTTTTTTTGGTATTCTAGAAAAATAAATATATATAAAAATGTATAAATCAGAGAAAATTAATTATTCAATAAATTACAATAATCAATTTAAAAAAAAAAATTTTAAATAATTGAAAAATATATTCGTTGAGTAAACTTAAAGTTTGAAATATTTCCGAATTTCGGTTTTTTGTTTTGTATTTTTATGTCCAGCCGTTTTGGCTCCCGTTTCAACCTCCCTTTTTTTTGGGCACCCTTTTATACTAGTTATAGATAATAGGTGGCCAAGGATAGAACTCCTCACATCTGAACTCACCTGCCAGGAGAACAAGTAGAACAGGTAATAGTTGGTGATGATGGCAAAGACGACGATGAAGAGGATCAAGCAGGCGGAGATGGGCTTGAGCAGGCGGACCAGGAAGGCGGCGATCCTTGGCAGTCGCCGCTGGACGAGCAGTCCGACCAGCAGCGGAAAGATCAAGCTGCCGCAATAGGTGGCTATCTTGCGATAGGGCACCTGTATGCCCGCCCTCTCGAAGATCAGCTGGCCCAGCGTGGTCACCCAAAGCGGCATGGTGGCAAAGGCGGCCACATTGCAGACGGTGGTCATTAGCACGGATAGATGGATATTTCCGCCCAGCACGGCGGTCCAGGTGTTCGAAGCCCCACCGCTGGGCGAGATTCCAGTGAAGAACAAGCCCAACTGCATGGCTGGAGCCTCCGGGAAGATGAAGACCCCCAGGGCGTAGCTAATTAGGGGCATGCCCACCACCTGGGTGATGAAACCCAAACAAGGAGCCGTCGGCCGGGTGATCAGACCCCGGAGAACCTCCAGATTCAGGGCGGCTCCAAAGTTAATGTACAGCAGCGACATCAGCAGGATGATGGAGCCCAGGAAGACATGGTCCACCACCCGATTTGGCCGCATGATCTTCACCTCCAGCGAGCTGTCGTTGCTCCACTCGGTGGGCAGTTCACTCTGGTTCAGCTGGATGTCATGGAGTCTCACTTGGATTTTGGTCTGGCCGAGGAAGTGACCATGGACCACTATGTCACCCGTCCAATCGCGCGTCTGGGGATTGAAGGCGTCCAGTGGAATGGTGGAATTCTCGCCGGGCACACTGGCCAGCAAGGCGTCCGTAGATTCTAACCGAAACTGAAAGCGATCCGGCTGCTGCAGCGTGGAGAAGTTAGCCTTTGGTAGCTCCAAAGTCAACTGCACCCGATCCTCGCCAGCCATGTGGAGCTTCAGGGCGGCGGGTCGGAAGTGGGCCGACCAGCCGCGGGTGGTGGGTGCGTAGCCCAGCGCCAGGATGACCAGCAGGAGATGTGGTGACATCATAATGGAAATTCGCCAGCCGGAATGTTTTGCTTTTCGCACGCAACAAGTGTTTACAACTGAAATAAGAAAATCCAACTAGCACACCGTTTACAGTTGCAATTGCAGTTGGCGAGAGCGGGATGGCGAGAGTGAGATAGGTATGTATTGCCGTGCAGAGAGCGGGCGAGAGAGCGAGACGGGCGATCGTCTAACAATCAACGGGATCTGTGCGAGAGGGTCGGCCATCTCTAATCTCGAATAGCCTACCTAATGTATACATATGTATGTAGCGATAAGCACTGTGCGCAGATGTGCAAAAGGGGATCAAAAAAATGAAAAGATCTAAGAGGGGATTTTGGCAAACATTTTAAGACATTAATTACATTAAATCAAATATTTTTATTAGAAATATATTTAGTATCTTTAAGAGTTTTTAGTTTCCCCAATATACCCTACATAACTATGAATGTAGAGATAAGCACTCTGCGCAGATGTGCAAAAGGGGATCCCAAAAATGCCAAGTCATTCTAAGGGCGTAGGTGAAACTTGCAACTAGTCGAAAAGGGGATTTCAAAAATCTTTCAAAAATATAATAACATATTATTTTTTAGAAATATTCTCTATATTCCTCTAAGAACTTTTAGTTATACCAACCCCCGCTGCCTACGTCACTGTTACATTGCTTGTAAATAGTTAAAGATAAGGTTTCCAAAACATGCTCCCCAAAATAAAATCATATCATTAAGTTATTATCATGCCTAATTTGCTTACGCAAATGAGTAGGCTTAATACCACCAGGAATCATAAACAACTAATCAAACTTTATACACTTTGAATATTCTTCCAGAGATTTCTATCAATTTGCCCTTGATCTTATTTATTTTAGGAAATTTCAAATTGTTGAGTCATTGTTATTTTCATGTTGTAAAATCCTAATCTGATTGCCTCAAAAAATCGTATGTTTTTGATAACGTATGTTTTTTTTAATTTTTTAAAATATTAATTGGAATATAAAAAATATTTTTGGTATTTTTTAAAGTGTCTCAAAATAACAAATTTGTTCCTCCTACAAATGCTAATTTTTTACAATATATTTTAGACATACATATAGTGCTGTTATTCACAGGTAAGATGTGAAATTTAAAACTCGAGAGGAAAAGCATGTTAACAAAAAAAAAACAATTTTAGTTTTTAGCACTCCTACAATTTGGACCCTGGAACTGAGTGCTACAATCCACCTATTTTCCTTATAGAGCTGCCTATGGATTTGCTTTACTGGCGATTTTTTTTCTATATTTCTGGAAAATTTCTTAAATTTAATAAATTTTGATTAATTTGAAGGAAATTTTCTTTATCAGTAGATTTTTTTATTTTAAAGAAAAAAATCGCCAGTGAAGCAAATCCATAGGAGATTAATTTTTTGAGTGCAGTATACCAAACTTATATATCCACCCTATAGAAAGTAGAGGAAAACATTGTAGCTTGGGGGTTTCTCTCGCTGAGAGTACGAGAGATGTTTATTTTATTGGAGCCTAGGTGAACAGTGAAATGCGCAAACAATAGATAACTAGTGGATTTGGATTTGGATTTGGATTTAGTACCGGTAGTGGTCGGGCTTGAAGGGACCCGACTGCGAGACGCCCAGGTAGCTGGCCTGCTTGTCCGTCAGCTTGGTGAGCTTCACGCCCAGCTTCTCCAGGTGCAGACTGGCCACCTCCTCGTCGAGGACCTTGGGCAGGACATGAACGCCGACGGCATACTGGTCGGCCTTGGTCCACAGCTCGATCTGGGCGAGCACCTGGTTGGTAAAGGAGTTCGACATCACGAAGCTGGGATGGCCGTGGGCACAGCCCAGATTCACCAGACGACCCTCGGCCAGCAGGATGATGTGCTTGCCGTTCTGCATGGTGTACCGATCCACCTGCGGCTTCACGTTCACCTTCTCCTTGGCATTCGCATTCAGCCAGTCGACATCGATCTCGATGTCAAAGTGTCCAATGTTGCAAACGATGGCATCGTCGGGCATCTGGAGCAGATGCTCGCTGGTGATGATGTCCCGGCAGCCGGTGGTGGTGACAAAGATCGAGGCCTCCTTGCTGGCCTCCTCCATGGTGGTCACCTCGTAGCCCTCCATTGCGGCCTGCAGAGCGTTGATCGGATCGATCTCGGTGACGATCACCCGGCCACCGAATCCCTTGAGCGCCTGGGCACAGCCCTTGCCCACATCACCGTAGCCGGCGACGCAGCACACTTTGCCGGCGATCATGACGTCGGTGGCCCGCTTGATGCCATCGATCAGCGACTCCCGGCAGCCGTAGAGGTTGTCGAACTTGCTCTTGGTCACCGAATCGTTGACATTGATGGCCGGGATGCCCAGGCGACCGTCCTTGAACATCTTGTACAGATTGTGGACGCCGGTGGTCGTCTCCTCGCTGAGGCCCTTGATGTTCTTCAAGTACTGGGGGAACTTCTCGTGGACCAGATTGGTCAGATCGCCGCCGTCGTCGAGGATCATGTTCAGGGGCTGGCCGTCGGGGAAGACGAGGGTCTGCTCGATGCACCACAGGTACTCCTCGTCCGTCTCGCCCTTCCACGCGTACACGGGCACTCCGGTGGCTGCGATGGCCGCCGCGGCGTTATCCTGGGTGCTGAAGATGTTGCAGCTGGACCATTGCACCTAATGGGGATCAGAAGGGGAAAAATATGGGATTAGATTGGAGTTAATTGGGAGTAGCTTGCTATTTCCCTAGAAATTATCGCAATTATCGAATCGATATTATCGAAACTATCGATTATTTTCAAGCCCTAATTAGGAGCCTAGATTATGAAAAAAAGGAAAAATATAGGTTTAGATTGGAGTTAATTAATATTAAATATGGTTTTTCCTTTGAAAGCATCGCTATTATCGAATCGATATTATGAAAATATCGCAACTATCGATCATTTTCAAACCCTAATTAGGAGCCTAGATTATAATCGATATAAAAAACTTGATTTTCTACTTTTTGCTTTACCATTTTAAAAGGTAAGTTAGGCTACAAGGTTCCTATATAATATATAGATCGAAAATAGTTGCCATGTGCGAGGATCAAAGAACAAAACGTGCTGTGTCAGAGGAAATAACAATCGGTAGGTCTTATCTTGGGCGCCTTGAACTTGCCCCCCCGTGTTAAACGAAAGTTTTGTTATTCAAATTGGTGCGTAAATGCGACAATGGTTGGAACTACCTATCTGACCATCTGTCTCGCATACAAAATATATAACCTAACGAACTCACTGTGTGAAAATATATAAGATTTTATATCTGATCATAAATTGGAATATTGTAAATGGTATTCAATATATTAATATTAACTTTCTTAGAAAAGAGTGATATCATATTGGAAACTGAACAAATATTACTATTTCTCATCCTATTTTGAAGATTCTAAATGGAACTCCTATATTAATATTTACTTTTAGAGGGTGATATTCTGTTGAACTAAGCAAATATAAGAAATATATAAGTTTTTATATTAGAATTTAAAGAAGATTTTATATCTGATCCTATTTTTGAAGATTCTAAATGGAATTCTTATGTTAATATTTACTTTTAGAGGGTGATACTCTATTAAAATAGACAAATATAAGAAATATAGAAGTTTTTGTATTAAAAATAAGAGAATATTTTATATCTGATCCTATTTTGAAGATTATAAATGGAATTCCTATATTAATATTTACTTTAAGTGGGTGATTTTCTATTAAACTAAACAAATATAAGAAATATAGAAATTTTTGTATTAGAATGTAGGGAATATTTTATATCTGATCATATTTTGTTTCTAAATGGAATTTCTATATTAATATTTACTTTCTGAGGGTGATGTTCTATTAAAATAAATAATTACATAGATATATTCTATTAGAATTCAATGGTAAATGGTCTTCAATATCCTAATATTTACTATCTGAGAGGAGAGAGTGATATTCTTCGAAACTAAACAAACTTAGGATGGTAAAATATAAACTATTCGTTGGTTCCAGACTGTAAGAATACTTTTAGGCTTGTAAACGCTATGATATGTAATCTTTTCGATCGCCATGGAGATCGAGATCTTAACGCACCTGGGCGCCCAGTTCGACGAGGGTCTCGATGAGGACGGCCGTCTGGACGGTCATGTGCAGGCAGCCGGTGATGCGGGCGCCCTTGAGGATCTTGGAGGGGCCGTACTTCTTCCTGCAGGCCATCAAACCTGGCATCTCGTTCTCCGCGATGATGATCGCCTTGCGTCCCCATTCCGCCAGACTGATATCGGCTGTCGTGCGGGAAAAAAGGGAGATAGGGTCAGATAAGCGCTAGCTGTTGATTTATATGGTATGGCAATAGGTGTTTGCAGCTACATATATTCTCTTTAGCCCGGCAACAACGTGCGTTTAACCTCAGAAACATGTGCTCATTTGGAACCGACTCGATTCGCCTGTTGCCGGCCGGAGATTCCTACCCCCCAAAGGCCTATATTATTTATAGCCCAACTCACCGACTTTGTAGCTGGGCTTCGACATTCTGGCAAGGATCGGGTGTTCTGGACTTGGACGCGGAGCAGACAGAATCGCACACAACCGAATTGGAGACGCGGGCAGCGGTAAATGAATCGGATCGCAACCCAAAACACTGGATTCCAATTGGGGAATGGCGGCACCGCGGAACCGGTTCATCCGAGCCAGTTCGCTCCGGAACCATTGGGGGTATTTGTGATAAATACTAAATATAGGTGTAAAAGTTATTCTTAAATATCAGTTATAAATGAGCTAAAAGTTGATTTTAAAAAATTTTGACAGAGCTGATAAATAACCTTTTTGCCATTTTGCATGAATGTATTAAGTTACTAAAATATTTAAAAATATATATGTGAAATCGATTTGGTTCCCACAACAGCATAAAATTAAATTAAAACATGGTTTCAGGTCCGTAAAATTAAACAACTAATCACACCTGTTTAAAAAGTCAATTCAATGACAATTGTATTTCTATGAAACACCTGACACAAAGCTAGCCAATATTCAATTCAGCAGCTAAGGAAACATTTCATATAATTGCTGTTGCCATGAAATGCTCGTCAAAATATATTTCATTTTATTTCATATGTTTTAATTTAAATGAATTCAACAAAAAGTTGTTTCAGCGCTGGCCGACGGTCACACTGTCATCCCTACGCCCGGCCACACTGCGCCCATCGGCGTTGTCGATAGGTGCGAGCCATCGCCAATATCGATACATCGATACGCGAGCAGAGTCATAGCATAGGGAAAATATACACAGCGAAAAGTAAAGTGCGAATCAGTGCGTTTTCCTGGTCATCGAACAGCCGAACCCAAAGTAGAATCCCCATGTCCGGCTCCGGTCTCGACGAGAATCCCTTCGGGGAGCCCAACCTGGACAATCCGTTTGCGGTGAGCCGATAATGGAGAGAGAGCGGCGAAAAAAAACCTAGCACACGTACACGTACACACATATATATAGAGATGTTAGCTGGTGGGGGTATGGGGGTGTATATATGTGTGTGTGCTGGGTGCATTCGTCACATATGTTGAATGAATTGGTTTCTGATTGGGATTTCCCCATCCCCGTCTGATTTTTCCAGGATCCCGCCATCCAGCAGGCACAGCAGGCATTCCGGGGCGGCGCCGCGCTCGTCTCGCTGGAGGATTACAACCCCTTCGAGGAGCAGGCGAAGCCGCAGCTGCAGATAAACTCGACCAACACGGCGGCCGTCGTCCAGCCGCTCTCGCAGAACATTCCGCCCCCGCAGACCAGCTCCCTGGGCGCCTCGGCGCCGAGCACCAGCATACAGATCACCTCGGAGGAGCTGCAGGTAACCCACATGGCGAGACATTACCACAAAGCAGTACAGTGAACCCTTGAAAAAACATACCTGCAAAATCCACATCATCTGTACATATCATCCCATTCCATTTGGCCATAAAAATACATCAAGATAAGCTGGCTTATCTCTCGCCTCTGCACACGATAAATCCATTTATCTAGCCAAGTCTTAACGGAGAGTGCCCACTGTACATGCTGCGGTTTCTCTCGATTTACTTGGCTTCAGCAGCCCTACACGAAAGCACTAGATATGCTAGAAGCAAGACCTAGATTCGGCTAGCTTCATGCTAGACTAAAAAACTCGATTGGAAAAAGTATCCAGAGAAATATTAGCACTGTTTCATATTATTATATATATGTTATATTATTACTAATTAACAAGAAAACATGTTGATGAATAAGTTCAATAGCCTCAAAAAATGTTTTGTTTACTGAGTAAAGACTATAAAGCCTATAAAATTGTTTTTATTATTCATCAAAAACTTTTCAAAATTTATTTGACTAAGAAAGTAGTTTATTTAGAAACAATATTAATTTGTTTTGAATATTTTGATGTTGGAAATATCTTTGGAATACTTAAAAAATAATTAAAAATAATGCGTAATTTTATTTATTACATTTATATATTATTATAATTTTTTCCCCCTTAAATCCCTTAAAATCATCAAAAATTATTTGGCTAAGAAAGTAGTTTATTTATCATCAAAATTTATTTGACTAAGAAAGAAGTTTATTTAGAAATTATATTCATTTGGTTTAAATACTTTGATGTAGGAAATATCTTTAGAATACTACAAAAATATTTAAAAATAATGCGTAATTTTATATATTATATTTATATATTATTATAATTTTTTCCCCTTAAATCCCTTAAAATCATCAACATTTATTTGGCTAAGAAAGTAGTTTATTTAGAAATAATTTTATATATTTTACTTATATATTATTATAATATTTTCCCTTTAATCCAGCGCCGGCAGGAGGAGCTGGACCGCAAGGCCGCCGAGCTGGACCGCCGGGAGCAGCAGCTGCAGGGCAATGTGCCGCAGCTGAACAACTGGCCACCGCTGCCCGATAACTTCTGTGTGAAGCCTTGCTTTTACCAGGACTTCGAGGTGGAAATACCGCCCGAGTTCCAGAAGCTGGTCAAGCGATTGTACTACATTTGGATCTGTAAGTATTTGTTAGCTTTATGGTTCTATTTTTTTCAATTTTCTATATTGTTTCGCTGATAAGCGAAGGCCCATAGGTTGGGATTAGTCATCGCGTGTCGCCCGCCGAGCGGGTGTCATGATTAATCAGATATATAGCTACGGCTAATGGTCTTGGTGGTACGCTTTTGCGTGCTTTTGCGCAGAAATTGCCTCTGAAGAGGGGATTAAAGAGTACCAAAAGACAAAACAATTTTAGAAACAATTTAAAAAATTACCTTTTTGCCTTATGAATGTAAGAAAGAAATCTTAAAATTCTTTTTAAATGCATTTATTTTCAAATATTTATAGTTTTATAAAATAATTCATCTTGTATTTATAATATTTATAATAGAAATATAGAAATAGAAAGAAATGCACAAAAGTCTTTAACAAAGATATCTTTTTAATAAAATTGGTTTTTCATATTCATTTATATAATATGTAAAATAGGAATTAGTACAGAAAAGAAATATAAATTATTATAAATATCATAACATTCCATTTTATATATTACATATTTTTTATAATTCACAAGATATCATTGTTTTTTGGGATCTTAGAATAATAAATAGAAAATAAAGCGAAAAGTTTTCATATTACTATAAAATAGGAATTGGTTTAGAAAAGAAATATCCCATATTATATATTCCATATATTTTATAATATTCAATTTTATATATTACATATTTTTTATAATTCACATAATATCATTGTTTTTGGGATCTTAAAATATGAATAAAATAGAAATTATTATACACTATTAAATATTCCATATTATAAATTCCATATATTCCATATTATATATTTATTTACCCATTTTTTGTATATTTTCCCTAGTTTACACCATGACGTTGTTGGCCAACGTGATCGGGGGTCTCATTTTGCTGTTCCATGCTGGCGAATTCGAAACCTTCTTCCTGGCCATCTTCTACACGATGCTCTTCTCGCCCGCCTCGTATGTCTGCTGGTGAGTTTAACCCTTGGATTATACTAAACACCCTCGTTTATTGAATCTTCCGCCCACCCATCAGGTTCCGTCCGGCGTACAAGGCATTCCGCAACGATTCGAGCTTCAACTTTATGGTCTTCTTCTTCATCTACTTCTTTCAAACGCTGTACTCCATTGTCCAGACGGTGGGCATCAGCAAGATGGGCTACTGCGGCTTCATCACGGCCATCGAGCAGTTCGATGGCCAAGCGTCGGGCATCATCGTCGGCATCCTGCTGCTGCTCGTGTCCTGCTGCTTCGCAACGGTGGCCGTGGCCAATGTGCTGATGATCACCAAGATCCATTCGATCTACCGCAGCACAGGGGCCAGCATGGCCAAGGCCCAGGCGGAGTTCACCACCGAGTTTCTGCGCAACCAGCATGTCCAGGAGGCGGCCTCCTCGGCCGTCAACACGGCCATCAATTCGCAGTTCAACAACAGCAGGTACTAAGGAGATCTGATCAAATCAAAAGGGAGAATCAATCAATCAATCAGCCACGAACTCAAGCACTCATCCTGCTAAACTGGAACAGAAAGAGATGGTAGAGAAAGAGAGAGAGAGAGAGAGAGACAGGGAGAAGAAACATTTAATAAATATAGAAATATAGCTTGAAAATAAAAAGGCAAGAAATAATTCAACTAAAGCAAGCATTGGAGCATGGAACTAATAACTAATTGCTTTTGTGCATAAACAATTCCTAGAATGCCGTCGTCTTTATTACAAATAATTACTGTAATGATAACACACACAAAAACACACACAATGCATTAACAATATTTATAAACAGAGCGAAACTGAACTTAGAACTTAAACTAAAAACTAAAGCTAAAAAAGTGAAAAAATGAAAACTAAAGCGGCCCCCGATGCCTTCGATACACAACAGCTGCAGCGGATTGGGAGGACAGGACATCTTGATCGCAATCCAAATACAATATCTAGAGTAAATTATTGTGTGTGTGTGTCCTGTGGAATAATTGCATTCGGAAATTAACCCAGAAACGAGAGACGCTGCTGCTGCTGCTGCTGATGATGATGATGTTTTCTAGTTCTTTAAGTCATTAAAACGATATAGGAATATCCCCCGTCCCCCGTCCCTCCCCCTCACACGCAGCACACACATACATATATACGATCTTATATATATATATATACAAAATAATATAAATAATATATTTAACGCTTACATTATAGAACTTTATCTCTTGTCGCCTTGGCGAAAGCGAAATTCATTTTTCATCCAAGCTGTGGTTACCCCCTCCCCCCTCTCCACCCCCTCTGTTTTGCACTCACATGAAATGTCGTGTTTCTTTGTAATCGTAATTGTTATATATTTATCTATGTACATGAAGACAGCATATAAAATATTGATTCACTTAAGTATTCACATTTTTAGATACATTTCTGTTCGTTTCCGTTTGCTTGCAAGTCAAATTTATGTTACGTTCCCCGTTTACAAACTAAATTGAAAGTGAAAAAATGACGATCTATGGATATGTGTATTTGAAATTCAAGCAAAACTTATGTTAAATTCCAAAATAAATATAAAATACTTATAGATGTAAAAGAGGTATTGTTTTCTTGAATTTAAATGGGAAAAGTGATGGGCTAGGTTTTTAACCATTTTTATAAAATTAAATGCTAAGGTAATTTTCTGGTTTCTAGCTTAAACTAAAATAAAATTCCTTTGCATTTTAGCTGCTTGAAATACCTGGCAAAATTCCAGGAAATCAGTATTAAATTTCCAATTGCTTGCCTAACTTTGATTTACTTTTGATTCGTCTCTAAATTAAGAGGAAAAATATAATAGTTTTGTGAATAACAAAAACTATTCAAGGCAAATTGCAAGGAAAAGCGGATAAATTGACGTAAGCTGGTAATTAAGATGGCTGAAGATGGCCAGAATATATAAATTCCTGGAAAATGAAAAGGATGGACGCCCACACACATTTTCGGTAACCCCATCTTGGATTGATTTGGGTATGGATTTGGAATTCCCATAAGTGTGATGTGCGATGGCCTGTCACCGAGACGTTTTGTCATCCAAAAAGATGAAAATTTTATTTGGTAAATGTTGAATTAAATCAACACACAGAGCCATCAAAAGGATTGTGCTAGACAGATAAGGCTACATATATATCCCACCAGTGGCGGATCCAGGATTTGGTTTTGGGGGGGGATTAGGGAAAAAATGTTGTGTTGCATACATTTTGAATACTCAGTTTCGTATAATTTTTTACCTTATTATTATGAATACCCACTTTCCTATTATTTTTGACCCGATTGGGGGGATTTATCCCCATTATCCCCATACCCCTTTAAAATCCGCTCATGCTATAACCCACATATACATATATTTATTCATGTGTCGCCCTCTTACTTTTGGGCAAAAATTGCGCATACGCCACGTTGGGGGAATATTTGCAACGATTTGTTTGCCATTTTGCTGGCAATCGAGAGAGCCGCAGAGCAGAGTCTATGAATAGAATTGTAGCATCGGGAAAGGGAAAGGGAAAGGGAAGGGGAGGGAATTTCGAATTGTAAAAAGCGAGAATGATGAGCAAATATGCTGCTCGAGTGCTGCAGATGCACTGCATCGTTAGTGGCAAATCCTTTTTGGCACACTTCAGTCGAAAGCCTGCATCATTCACGTGTTGCAGCTGGATAACCCACCTGATAACCCACCTGACCACCCCATTCCATTCCATCCAATCTATCCAACCCATCCACCTGGCGCCGAATAATGGGTGTGGGTTTCTGGGCGGGATCGGGTTTCGTTTCAGGGCTTGGGCCGGACGCTAATTGCTGACAACGATTTGCTATTGATTGCATTTTCACGCTGCTTGCGTGCCAAGAGCTCACCGAGGAGCGAAGTCAAAGGACACGCTGTGACAAGGTAACCATATTGATTTTATGTCGCGCCAAGAATAACCAAGTAGCGCCACGTAATGCAGCTGACTTTCCAGCCGAAAAGTCAAAACTTCATCCCGGCTATAAATGGCGGAGGTTGTCCCGGCACTTGCCCGTTTCTCTTTTCCTGGCCCTGTTCCTTAATGCACTGCGGAATCCATGTAAATAGTCGTCGATCCTCGGAAATATTACCATTTTTTAAAATAAATAAATGCAAAACTTGGTCAAATATTTGTCCAAAAATAAAAACTCCGGAAAATGATAGGGTTCATTAGTTTAGATAGTTAGCTGCCCAAAACAGTCGGCCCTTTGGAAGTGGGCTTTAATTTGTCCAAATTACGGTGAAAAACTAAAAAAAAATAGGTTTTTAGATGATTAAAGCAAAATCCGGATTTTTCACCCAAAAAATATAGTATTTTGGTCATACAAATTGAAATAATGATCCAAATATGGAATGTAATACCTCGCTGAACTCGTAATAAAATCCCCAATCGATCTGCATTTAAACCTGGAATTTTTTAATTTTCGCCACTTTTTGCAAAAAATTATGATGTAACCCCTTATCAAAAAAGTGAAAATTGGGTCCAAAATTAGTTTTTTTTTAAATCAGGCGGAAAGTTTACTGATATTAATTACACTATGCAGCATCAAAAATTAACCTCGATGGATGCTATATTTTTGGATTCGTTATGAATTCCCAAGTTAAACTGCGTTTTCCAAAGAGTTCCCCGACGCAAGGATTCTTAGCAAAAGGACCTCAAAGTTCGAAAAATGCTGAAATTGACCAACTTTGCGGAGCTCTCAGAGGCAAATGGATGCATGGCTTGGTTCGAAATTAAAGTTTTTTAAAAGATACACCCTTTATCTTTTAAACCCCATACTTAAAAAATTTTTAAGATTTTTTCTAAGGCAGAAACAAATTCTAGAAAACATAGTCAAAAAACATAAAAGTATACAGCTGCGGTCAAAATGGTAGTAGTGTTGCCGCCCTGTGTATTTAAAAGTTTGTTGTTGTAATTGATCTTTTCCTGGTAATATTGTATTGATTATAATTTTACTATTAGACTAATTGGATAAGAAAAAATTACAACATCAAACTTTTAAAAACACAAGGCGGCAACACTGCTACTATTTTGACCGCAGCTGTATGTTTTTCAGTTTTTTGACTATGTTTTTTAGAATTTATTTCTGCCTTAAAAAAAATCCTAAAATTATTTTATGTATGGGGTTTGAAAGATAAAGGGTGTATCTTTTTAAAAACTTTAACTCCGAACCAAGCCATGCATCCATTTGTCTCTGAGAGCTCCGGAAAGTTGGCCAATTTCTGCATTTTTTGAACTTTGAGGTCCTTTTGCTAAATATCCTTGCGTCGGGGAACTTTTTGAAAAACGCAGTTTAACTTGGAAATTCGTAACGAATCCAAAAATATAGCATCCATCGAGGTAAATTTAAAAAGCACTAAAAATGCTGCACAGTGTTATTAGGTTGTTAGCTGCACAAAACCGTACACCTTTTTGTTTTGGGACCATTTTTGCCAAAGTTACAGCAAAAAATCTATTAAGAAAAATTTCAAATTCAAAATCCTGATTTTCCACCCAAAAAAGTATGGTGATAAAAATTGAAATAATGATCCAAATATGGAATGTCATACCTCGTTGAACTCGTAATAAAATTCCCAATCAATCTGCATTTAAACCTGAACATTTTTAATTTTTGCCAATTTTTGCAAAAAATCATGATGTAACCCCTTATCAAAAAATCGAAAATTGGGTCGAAAATTGATTTTTCCAAATCAGACGAAAATTGTACTGATATTAATTATTAGGTTGTTAGCTGCTCAAAACCGTACGCCTTTTTGTTTTGGGACCATTTTTGCCCAAGTTACAGCAAAAAATCGATTAGGAAAAATTTCAAATTTGTACCAAAAATCGAAGTCCTTATTTTCCACCCAAACAAAAATAGTGTTTTGGTCATAAAAATTAAAATAATAATCAAAATTTCATCCAAAGCATTGAAAGAATGTTTCAAGGTTGTTTAGCTGATTATCAAAGTCTTAGAAGAGTGATCCATTTCGAATTAGCCACATGTACACTTTATCCTAACCCTTTCTTCACTTGCAAAATATACACCCAATTTTCGTGTGTCATTTTCCAGTCGAGTGATAAACGCTTTCCGCTCGCTTGTCAGTCGCCAGCTTAGAAATCACTTAAATAATATTTTCCTCGACCGCCGGCAGCTAAACGTTGTCCCCGCAGGCGGTCCTACGACAAATTAGGCAGCCACTGTGGGTGGTATAGTGGGTTGGGAAATGGGGAAATCCCCAATACCATTTGCCAAGTTGGGGCCAATTTTTCACACTATACGGAAGTATTATTTGGGTCACATTTCCTGCTGCTTTTAATTAAAATCTTCCACTGGCGGAAGTACAAATTTCTTGATGTTACAAAGCGCTGAAAACGCTCCATGGGCGTTGCAAGGGGGGTTACACAGGGGAAAGGGGGGCGGGGGCGTTTTCAGATAGTGGGGTTGACTGGCTTAGTGACTTGGTCAGAGCTAAGTCACAGCCGAAGGCGTTTGTCGACCCGAGAACCCGAACTTTATCCCGACACCGAGATGGCGACCCGAGTCCACAAAAGTCGCACACAACCTATTGCCCTTCATAATAATGCGACAGAGGCGGGGGCCTGCTTTTCGGATGGGGTTTTCCTACTTTTTTTTTTTTTTGAAGGGGGGGGTGATTTCAGCTGAGATTGAAGATAAAACACATGCGCTCATCACGTTTGCTGTTTGTGCCGTTTCTGTTTGTGCTCTTCTCGTCGTGGTTCTAGCTGCTGCTGCCTCTCGTCCTTAACCCCCTTCCTCTCCCCTCCCCTGCCCTGCTTACAGGACCCCTTCCCTCCGCCGCCGCCTCTCTCAAACACACACACACAGGGACACCGCAAGGCCGCACTCACACAAACGCCGACACAAAGCGCCGCACATGGCACTTGGCGCTTCCTTCGTCCCAACACTGAGAAAAAAACAGCACAATGGATTTTGAAAAAAAAAAAAACAAAAATAAATTTGGTAAGTTCAGTTATAAGTTATATATCAGACAGCAAAACGAATCGTTTATAAAATGCAATTTAAATAATTGTATATTAAATATAAATATTTATTTAAAATACATTTTAAGAACCTTAAATTGAAAATATTGTCCGAGATATATACATTTTCCATTAAACTGAAACTTAAAAAAATATTGACATTTCTTTTTTATATTAAGATTTGTATTAAATTTATTAGTTTAATTTTATTAGTGTATTTTTCAAGAATCTTGGTTTTTATGTAAAACCTATTTCGTTTTTAAATACTTTAAATGGAAGGGATTTAAGTGTCAAACTTATGATAAATTATTGCAAAGATATGTTCAGACCAAAATATAAATTGACTAAATTTTGTTTTTTTCATTTCAAACCTTTTGTGGCTTTAAATTGAAATGAATAACTTAAGCTGTGCATTTTTTTCAGTGTAATGTTTCCTGGCAATAATATTTATTAACTAGACAATGTAATACAAAATGGGTAGCTACGTTTAAGAATTCAATAAAACCTTTAAACCTTTTATTCTAATTATTTTCAATGTACAGTCTCTTCTTCAGCAATAAACAAATTACTCTTTTATTCAGCGGAGAGTTTATTTACCATAAAACCAACTAATAAAGCTATAGATATTATACGATTTGATTAAAATAATTTAATAAGGTATCATATTTTTCTGACAGTGCACCGTTTCTGCTTCTATCTGTGGTGCTGCCGCTGTTGTTCTTGGCGGAGCTGTGGGGTCTTCTGTTGGATTTGTCCCCGCTGGGAAATGCGCATCGCCCGCGGCAGACAAATATTTTTTTATCTTTATTCAATTCAATTCCACCAGCGACCACTTGAGTTTTTCTTTTTGCCCTCCTCTCGGATATGATTCTCTTATTGTCTTAATTGGAAATCCGGACAAGTTTCATCTGCCAAATGGAGCTGGGATCTGGATCTGCCTGCAACTTTAATGTATGTATGCAGGTGGTCGGGAATAGCAGGGGAATCTGACGAATTCGAGTCCCAGCAGACCTGACATTTTCCGTGGAAAATTTGTTAACATGACATCAAAACATGAAATCTGAATGTGTATTTGCTATGGTTTATTTTATTATTTTATTTACGCAAAGGTACAAATTGAAAAGAGGGATTATATACAGATTTTAAAGTGATAATAGTATAAAGTGATAATAAAAATAAATTTAAAAATAATAAAATTCAAAGTAAAAAAATTAAATAGAAAAAAAAGTAGCCTAATTTTAAAGATTTTGTTTGGTTCAATGGTTAACAAACATTTTAAAATCAAGTTTTTAAACTAATCAACCGTTTTGTTGATAATTTCTTTAAATATTTCACTTAAATTAATAATCTGCATTTAATTTCGGAATAGCTGGGATAATTTGCTTATAAAATTCAACTAATACTTGGCTCCCCCTGAAAATTCCCCCGGATATTATTGCTCCATTTCCCAACGGGCTGTTCCGCCTGCGGAGGCGGAGGAGGAGGATGAGAAGGGGGAGGAGTGGGCTGTGCTCTGCTCTCGGCTCGAATTGGGTTCGGCTCGGTTCACTTCGTTGGATTTCGCTGGCTTCGCCTGGAGTCCTGATGCTGCTGCTGCTCCTGAACATGAATGAACATGTCTGTGCGGGGGGGCAAGGATGAGAGGTGGCGATGCGGAGGCGACAGGGCTGGCTTTGGGCTTGGCTACAAATTTTTTTGTTACAGTCGCGCATAACCTCCTGCTTTTTCCCTTCTCCTCCTGCTCCTTCTCCTTCTTCTCCTCTTCCCCCACTAACAACACACATTTCGCGCAGAGAAGGACTCTTCCTCGGTTCTTCGGGGCATTCGGGCCTTCGGGCTTTCGGCTTTCGGGCTCTCGGCTTTCGGCTCTCGGCTGATAAGCTCTGCTGGTCCTCTGCTCCCTCTCCCGCTCCCTCTCCCGATACAGCTGTGCTGCTGCTGCTGCTCCTGAGCTCAGTGCCAAACTGTCAATCGTGTAGTGCGGTCATGTGGTGCGGAGCCAGCGTGCGCTCGCCTCCCATCATCATCGTCGCCCTCTGAATGGTCTTCAGTCCACAGTCCAGCCAAATAAAATCCCAAATAAACCGAACCGAAATCCAAACCAAACCAACAGCCACAACAACAACAACAACAAACGGAACTCTAAGGATTCCACGACATTTTTTTGTTCTTGTTCCTAATTTCCAATTTGCAACATTAAGCCAAAAAGGAAATACAACACAAAAATAATACAAATATAATAATCAGCAGAAAAGTGCTCAAAAGTGCCAAAGAAAAAAAGAATATAAGAATAAAAACCGGAACCCCAATCAGCTAAGCTGAAGAAAGTTTTTTAAAAAAAAAAAAAAAATGTGCCTCCTTGAAAAAAAAAATGAAAAAGAGGATTAAATATTCAATGTGCAAAGGTTAATTTCCAAAGAATTTTTTTTGATAATTTTTCTTCTTGTGCGGTTTGAACACGAGTGCAAATAGAACAAGCAACAACAACAAAACCAAATAAAAAAAAATACCAAAAACAACAACAGCAACGGCGAGACAGCAACAACAACAACTAAGCTACAACTACAACAACCCACAACAAGGATGAAGAACGGCTGCAAATGTGCGTGAAATATTTGCAAAATTAATTTTATAACATATATTTTATTCTCTATATTTTTTTTATTTTTCTCCACAATTTTTTTGTTTTTTTTTTCAAGTGGGTATTTTTTATGCAAATGTGCGTGAAATGTTACCAAAAAACTATATAGTAATATTTCCAAAAATTCTTTTTTCTCTATATTTTAATTTATTTTTCTCCACAATTTTTGTTAAGTGGGTATTATTTATTTTTCCATTCTTCTAATCCAATTTGTGAGCCAAAGTCAAGGCAGCTTTTCAGTGTGTGTGTGCGTATGTTTGCTTTTTTGTGCCAATTAGTTGACAGATTACGCAAAACTAATGCCAACATTTAATTTTTTATTTATATAACACAGGACACATCTCTATAAATGTCCCAATCTCAATACCAAACAGAAATCCCCAAGAATCTCTAATGAAGTTGTGTTTCTGGGGGGAGGGGGAAAAAAATTACTCAATCGTTTTTGGTGTGTGTGTGTGTGTGCTAGTGTGTCTGTCTGTGTGACAGTCCTTGTGCCACCCTCGATTTTTAGGCCTTTTGCCACTGCTTTTGCCGCCTCTTGTCTGCGCCTTGTTATTTTTACAGCTCCTTGAGCCACTGACCAAATTTTCCTTTTCTGCTGTAATTTCTTTGCTTTTTTTTGTATTTTTTTTGGGGGTGGTCCTCAAAACTCTATTAGCTTCATTATTAATAAAGTTTTCCCTTTTCCCTTCTCCAGCCCCTAATGATATTTTCTTGTATGAGCATTTTTGGCTGCCGGAGGGGTTTTGGGGTTCGGGGTTCGGGATTTGCGATTTGGTATTTGGGAATTTGATGAGGGGTTGGCTTGAAAATTGAGTGATTATGGGTGTTGTGTCGGAATGCGGGCAATAATTTTGCGTATTTTTCGGGCATGTGTGTGTGCCTTCTGCCTTTGTTGTAGTTGGGAAATCATACATTTTACATTTACAACTTTTCCATTTGATGTGGGGCTCTATATAAAAGATAAAAGTTATATACAAGAATTATTTCCAAATCTATCTTATCTATTTTAAAAGCCATATATTTGATTTGTTAAGAGTTTACATTATTATTGATTAAACTCTTAAATAAATTTGATTACATATTTTATTCTGTCAACCAGAATTTAGTGAGCTTTTTATTCAAACTCTTGATAATATTTAAAAAGTATTTATAAATCAAACTCTTAAATAAATTATTGTTCATAACATACGTGATTGATTGTTGTTTTAAACTAGAACTGTATTTGCATGGCTGTACCTACTATCGTATATAATTGCTGATCAAGTTCAAGTGTAATTTTGTAATTTTGCAGAACCAACTATTGTGACAAAAGGTCCTCGTGTTGCCAATTAAAAACTTTTCGCGGTGGATTATTTGATAGTTTTGGGCCTAACGATGCGGTTAAACTTTACACTCCGTACTTTTTCGAACTTCTAATTAGCAATTGGGGCCGAAAGGAAAAAGGAAAATTGACAAATTTGTCCGTAGAGTCCATGTTATTAAATGGAATTTTTGCTCGATGGTTTTAATTAATGGAAATACGAAATGCGAAACCGAGTTTTATTTAATTGCCACATCGCTGTAAATTTTGGCGTTGCAAAATGGGCGGAATGCAAAATTCGCTTTGTTGCTCGCAACATTTTGCCATTTGTCGCTTGTCGAATATAAATTTGCCTGTCCCAGCAGCACACACACATATGAACGTATGTATGGGGAAAATACAGTGGTGGGACAAGTAATAGTGATTTTTTATTATTTTTAAACTTTTTCGGAATAATGATTTGTAGTTATTTAATATCGTTATATTATAAAATTTGTTCAAGAGCAAAAGAAATAATTTGTTGATGCTTTTATACTATTTTAAAATAAATTTTAAATTTCATTTGCATTTTTTTTATATTTTTTTTTTTCGTTTTAAGATTTTACGCCAACACTTACATAAATCATTTTAATAAAAGCGTCAAATTTGAAAAAATACTTTGTTAGCTACATTATTAAAATACATCACTGTCATGGAAAAAGTTTGGACTCCTTTAATAAAAAGCTATTTGTTAAGGATGAAACCTCTTAGTGAGGTGCCTAAAAGTATGCAATAATGAAATTTTTGAACAAAAATAGAATAATTTGTAAAGTATTTGTAAGTAGAAATTGCTGATCGTTGCTATTATTTTGGGCACTACTTTACTCGTTTAAAGGACATGGGGATATCCCCATTGACGGCCGTGTTCCACTGACGTTGCCCATACGCCGTGTATGCCCGCCTCGAAAAGTGTTGGCTTGTTTGTTTGCTCGCCGCTGGTCGTTTTGTGACTTTGATGGTCGTTTCGGTGGGGGAGGGGAAGGAGAAGGGGAGGGGGTTTTTGGGCTGGAAGCTTTTTAGCCAGATTGGCAGCTGATTTTGCTGTTGATGCTATTTTCGTTCGGGGCTGTGAATGAATGTCATAATCGATAATTTAATGTGCAAAGTGGCTGCTCGCCTGCCGGTCTTTTATTTTTGGTGCTGTTTCGTCCTTTTTTTTGATTTTTTCTTCAGCCCATTTTATTTATATTATTTTTTGCCACTTATTTTTTTTATTTTTTTTTTTGACTGCCCATAAACGTGTTTAATTAATGGCAATGACACAAACACTCGCGCACACACACACACACACGCTTATAATCTTGGCAGATTAAGGATAAGAATGAGAGAAGGAGGCCAGATAAAGAGAGAGGCTGGATAAGAGGGGGGCGGGAGAAAGAGAGAATAAAATGACACTCGGCCAGTCACATTCGAAATGTGTGTTCGCAAAATAAACAGTGAAGCAGAAGAGGCGGCAAAAGTAAGACAGACACGCACACATTGCCACTTGCGGGATGCTTGAGAATAAGTAGAAGAATAAGAATAAGAAGGGGGAGCAGGGGGGGCAGGGAGAGAGAGTGGAGAAAGCGTGGCGAAAGCGACACAGCGAGAGCAGCAGAAGAAGAAAAAGATGCCAAAGATGCCGACTATGAAAGAAAGGACAATGGCAAGCAGACGACAACTTTGCTGGTGTGAGTGTGAATGTATCTGTGTGTAAGGGACTCTCTCCCTGACTGCCAGCGTATGAGTTTGTGTGTGTGTTAGCAATAATAATAAAAACCTAGAAGACCATGTGTGAGCTTCTCTTCGCCTCTCCGTCTCTCTCTTTCTCTTTATGCGAAATGCCAAAAGGAAATGCCAAGAAATGAAGTGCTTCTCTCCCACACACACACACACACTCTATATCTGTATGTGTAAGCCCTACAATTACATAATATGGTACGCGCATAAGACGAAAAGTATTGTTAAAGCCTTTTTGATTTCATCGTGCATTCGCATTCGCAGCTGGCATGAAAAACTATGCCATGCCGGGCGGAGATTTTCCTTTTTCCCTTTTTTTTTTATTGATTGAATGGCACTCGGCAAAGAGGAGGGGGGTTTTCCGGCTTGAGCCCCAAAGTGAAAGTGAACTGAATTTCAGCTCAGCTCCTTAACACGTCCTTACTTTGTTCGTGTGTGTACGCTCAACTTAAATGCATTTGTGCACAGAGCAAAAAATGGCCAAGTGTTTACCTACAATATCATGTGGTTTGAAGCTCAATCCTTATAGATAATATGTCTGGAATAACAAAGAAAAACTAAAAAGATTAAATTTATATTTGAATTTTGATATAAAATGTCTTTTAAACTTTACAAATTCTTATAAGCCATGTTTTTAACTTTCGAATCATAAGTAAAGGTAAACTCTCCATTTTTTGATTCTTCTTTTTAAAATATTTTCTTGTCAATTTATTGCGAATTTTTATAATATGATTTGAAAGTTAAAGCACCACCAGATTCAAAATACTTTAAGTGGTTTCGAAAAACCTCTAATATAACTGAAACTAAAATTATTTCAAATAATTCAAGTTAATTATTTATTGGGAATTAAATGAAATTCATCAGTTTATTTAGAATATCTATTAAAATTATTCCAAAACTGAAGAGGATACAAAATAATTTACTGCATACTTTTAGATATCTGATTAGGTGGTTTCGAAAAACCTCTAGTATAACTAATGAAACTGAATGTTTTTAAGTGGGAATTAATTGAAATTGGAAATTGTTTGTAGATTTAACACTTTGTATTGTATTTGTATTTTTCCAGTTATTTTTTCTTCTCTGTCTCTGGTTCTGTGTGTGTGTGTGTGTGTGTGCGCCTGTGGGTCTGTTAAATGTAACAGTGTGAGTTTGTCCTACTGCCCTAATGAAATTACAGAGTCCAACGATGAGCTGCCAACGCACGAAATGCACTCAGGGCACACACACACACTCATACATAGACAGCCAAGGAGCGGCTGCATTGCTTCATTGTATCCCTGTCACTCACACACAACCAAACACACACACGCACACACTCTCACTGGCCGACACCGATAGTGTGTGCTTTTTCATAAATTGCATTTAGTTGGCCAAGTTTTCTTTTTTTTTGTTTTTTTTTGTTACTTTGCAGTTGATTTGATTTTATGGTCTGCCAGGATCTGTGTCCTCGTGTGCGGACTCCGGAGTACGGAGAGTCCGGAGAGAACGGACAAATGTGTCCGTAATGGATGCCAAGTTGAAAAAGGTTTTATAGAGATTATTTATAAATGTTATTACGCTGCTGAGAATGTAAAGGAGCCCCGAAGGGGATGTGTGAAAAAGAGGAGATTTGATCGTTCAAAAAGAGTTGAGCACTGCATGTTTTTACAATGCCGTTTTTGTTCGCATTGTTCCGGCTGCCAAGTGCGAATAATGGGAATTGGCATGGGAATGTGAATACTGAATGGGGGAAAATATATATAATTAATTTTTCAGCAACCAATGCAACTTTTTATATTAAATATTATATTATTATTAAGAATATTAGATATTATATTATGCCAGTTTAATATTAAATTAATCAAGGACTTGAAATCATATATAAGAGTGACTAAAAGTATGCAACACTTTATTACAGATC